ATTTGTAAAGATTATTATCTGCTCTGCGGGTACCCGTTGCGCAGTCTATTAGAGGGTAAGGTTTTACAAGATAATTATAAAGGCAAGAGTAAGAATTCTCGAAGTTGGAGGAAGAAAAAGGGAAAGGAGTGAGTGGAAGGAATTGAGATTTGAAAAGAAGAGGAGTGGGTAGTTGGGAAGAGAGAAGCGGGGGAGGGAAGTGAAAGATGGGAATGAGAATTTAAATGTATTATGCATGGGGAAAAGAAAGAGGATGGTCAGATTTTGAAACCGGATTGAAGATAAAATCATTATACTTGGTTTTCGTGTAGAAGTTTGAGTGGATTGGACATCCAATGTTTGAAATGAGCTACATGGATTGGAATAATTATTGAGTTCTCGTCGTGAAACATAGTTTTAGAGATAAGGCTGGGTTAGGATTAGAATTAGTATTATATTTTTGTTATTACATTATTCGGTTGGTTTCTTGGTTTCTTGGGTTTCTGATCATTTGGTTACTGGCGACAAATCCGTGATGTTAGATGTATCAATGTATTGAATTGAGGGACGGCTTTGGTGTATTCAGCTGAAAAGTTCTAGGGGGTGTTGTAGAGAGGAGTGTGGGTTCAGAGGGAAGAGAGAAGAGGGGGGAGACTAGAAACAAGGCGGAATTTGAAAGTGAAGATCTTTTGTATGGATTTGAGATCTTTTGTATGAGCTTGATGGGTTTTGTGCTGGAGTGAAATCGAGCTGAGTGAACTGTCCTCAAGCAGTTCGAGATGAAATGGCTTGGGTATTTAAGGGTGGGTCAGGGAAAGTTACCTGTGAGGGCAGCTGAGTGTGCTGGCATCCGAGTATCATCTCTCTGCAAGAGTGGAAGGTTGGAGGATAGGAGAATTTGAGGGAACAGTCACGAGAGTCGAGCCTGAGGTTTATCGAGAATTGAGCGTTGAGGTTGGTGTGCTCGTTTCGTCTGAAATCTTTAGGTCTCTCACTCTTTACCCTATTAAGTAAAGAAGAAAATAGAAAATAGAAGACAAAGAAATTGAAAAAAGAACCAAGAATTCTGCAAATAAGGTTTAGAGACTATGTGGACCTGTACCCAGTTTCCATTCCGTCTTCGATATGTGGAACTGGAAGATTTTAGCTCCTCAGGCCTGATATGACGATTTACATCACTTGTTGCTTTCAGCACAATCTTGAATTTATTCAGTATAATTCCTCGTACGTCGCGCGGTAATCATGTAGATGTACATTCTCATGATTGTGTCTTCTTGAAAATTGTGATGCGGATGTTTGAGATGTATCTTTTGGCAGAGTGGTACTCGTCTTGTGTTTGACTGCAAACTGGGGTGCAGGATAGCCGCAAGACTAAGTGAAGATGACTCGCAATTAAGACTCTGACTTCGCTGACGAAGATATATGTATAACAGTGGTGAGTGTGAGGATCTTGATGGATGCGATTCTAAAAATAATGAGCATGGTGAGTATGTTATACAGAACTGTTGTGTCCTATTTAAAAGTCTCGCCAGGAGATAGGAGGAGATCTACACGCATGATGGGTTAATTTGTCTCTATGTAGGGGGAAAAAACAGGCCGGAATTGATCACTAGCAAAGCCCTTCAGTTATCCAACTGTTCCATTACAATTTGAAAAATTAAATGTTTCAAAAATACTATAGCTGAAGATTGTTTAAGGGCTCAATGAATTTTACTACCTTTTATAATTTTACCAATGGTTGATTTAATGTAGAATTTAAAGGGGGGAAGATTTTGGCCTTTTTTTTCTTCTGTGTAGAGGTTGTACAGATCGGTTTTTGGAAGAGAGCTGATTGTAGAGAGTACTATTATGATGTTTGTACGGGTTTGTGTAGATTCAACACTAAATATTCTGTATTATAAGCTTATGCAAATGTCTAAACAGTAGTTGGTTCTTGAACATTAAGATATGTCTAACCATTTCAGGTATTTGGACTGATGGAACGCACAATCGATCTAACGGCTTAGAAAACTCATGGAGCTACTCCTGTGCTTCTGATAGGGAGATAACGCCCGATAAATAATGCCTTGTCAAAATAAAGTATTCTCAATGTACAGTATGCATACGGTCCAGACAGTCGTGAATGCGGAAGTGCACTACTTGATCAATCTCCTCATGGTAACAATTTGGGAGTTTCTCAGGGCCCTTGTGTGTGTCCATGCTATTGGGGGTACTTGATTGATGTATAATGGATCAATAGTCTACTGGTATTATTGAGAATTTGTGATCTCATTGTTTGAGTGATTTTGAAGTCTCTGAAGGCATCAGTATTAGGCTGTACGACGGGTACTTGCAAAGCGGATAATAGCCTTAACAAATAATCCACAAATAATTTGTCTACAAAACAGATAATTCAAAATCTGAATAAATAATCTATAAACAAGTACAAATTACTTATAGATATTCATCTATCTGTATATTATATAACTATTCATAATCTTTTATAATATTAATGTAATTTTATAATTAATATAAAAATTAATATAAATCTAAGCTTGAATTACTTTTAGACTAGAAAATAATCTGGGAATAACTTTATATTTTAAACGAATCTCCACTTTTTTTAAAGAATCTATATATCTACAAATTATTTATAAATAATCTATAAATTATCTATAGATAACTTATATATCTACAGATAATCTATCTATTTATAAGTAAATAAATTATTTACAAATAATCTATAGATTATCCATACAAAACAAGTAATTTTAAAGCTTCAATAGATAATCCACAAAGCAAATAAAATCTCTAACAAATAACCCACAAAGCGAATTATCCGCAGATAATCCATAGATACAGATAATTTGTGCGCAGCCTAGTCAGTATATCGCCAAAGCTCACTGTAACGCCTTCCACCTTTTATTCCTAGTATAAAATGAATGAGGATTGATATCATATGGAATTGGACGGAGTTCTGAAATCAATCATTCAGGGAAGTCTTGCAAGAGAGAGAAAAACGTCGATTGACCGACTCAGTTAGCTAAACTTGCCAGCCGCGGACTAGTAGTGAACAGAAATCCATGTTATCATCATGGATTTGATCTTTGAACTATATCAGACTCTCAATCACAAGGAAACGAAAAAGAAATACATGCATCGATTCATACCCTCAGGAATCTGCCTCTACAACATACCCACAATGACATCCCAGAACATCCCCCTCTCCCTCCTCTCTAGAACTTTCGGTACGTAACCTTACCGAGCGCACAGACTTATCCTCGAACCCTTGTAGAACTTTGCGTCATCACCAACCCCTGAATAGGTAGATCTCTACCGTTGTTTGGCCCGTCGCACAGAGATTGCGGGATGTTTGAATCATTCCTATTCGTTTGTTATGTTAAACGCGACGCTTGTAGTGTTCTTGGTTGCGCGCCTAATTGACATGTCGGGGCTTGTCAGTATACGCTGACTGGAGATTCTACCTATCTTCCTTACTTTGATCCCGTGGCCAGTTTCCATGAGTTTACCACTTGGTGAGCTTGAGGAGATGCCTATTGCGTTTTATATTTATGCTTACAACTCGGAAGTTTGTAGGAACAATACCAAAAATCATTGTTATGGCATTGCATCTAATGCCTCTGATGAACAACGCCTGGCGAGTGAATGATACCGTCATCGGTCTGAACAGCTCTTGAGCGGAAAATTCTGTAAGCAAAGTTGTCAGACACCTTCAAAGTAGCATAGGAAGTGTTATCTTATAACATTTCCGAGTCTTTTATCTTCAAACATCGAGAGTTTCACGTGATATTCAAAGAGCGGCTGAACACTAGCCACACATAGCTTGACGTCGCCTGACGTCGCCCCGTTCTTTTACCTTATTTCTTTGCGACGTCACAGCATTTCTCTGTTGCGACAAGACTACAGTCCCGCAAAGTTGATCTCCAAAAATGTCACGAACAACAAATGATGCTTTGATCTGGTATTTGGGCATTCACCAGCTTCGTCTAGGGATTGTCGAGGATCATTTGAAATTGACGGGCAACGAGAAGGCATGCGATAGGCGTCATCTCATCCCTTCAATACTGGCGACTCTATTATCTCAGTTCTCCGAGATTCCATTCATGCTTGAATGCTAGCCTGATTTAGGAAATTCAACTATCAAATGCGAAGTTGCTACCTTACGAACCCATCGGCATACTATTCCACTGCGATCTGTTCACAAGATCCACGCCATTTTAACGAGGCTATTATGTATCTTTGTCCGGAAGAAAAACGAGCGCAATGCTTACAAAATAAGACGCAGGATGATGTCTAGTCTCATGGAAGTCATTGGATGGACGACAAAGATACGTGACATTTTGGACGATGATCTCTAAATTGATGGTTTAGAAGTACGCCCGGCAGATATGTCGGTATGACTTTACTCGTGTTACGAGTCGCTGATTCAAATAGATTCCAACCATTGCAGGCATACCAATTCTTGAGCTGCGCTCAAACTTCGTTGCGATGCTTGTCCAGTTTCAGTCTGGAGTTCCAGTATAGTCACGTGATTTGTCACGCGGTAACGTGCAACGGACAAGAGAATGGGTGTCTCGACGGAACAACGAATTACACGATTTATACACCAAATATGTAGTAGTTTATCCCCTAGACTGCCAACTCATAGCGTCCGGGTGGTCCGTGTAATATACCCTGTATGAAGAAGTCTGATTGATTAGATTGGAGTTTTAATGCCTTTTCAGTCACTCTATTTATAAAATAAGATTTTGATTCTAAATCTTGATTTTCTTAAAACCACAAAAGTAGGAAAGATTAAAAATCAATAGATATTATTATATTTAAAATTCTGATATATAAATATTATGAAATGGATTTTATATTAAAGATTGAATGTGGATATTTAATGAAATTTCGATAATCTTAATGATCTGGTTGGTCAATAAGTCCCTGTTAAGCGAAAGCGCCTTCAGTTGGCAGTCTAGGGGATAGCATCAACCCCAGATTTCAAACTCGGCGATCCTTCCATGCCACGGAGGCATTTATATATACCAACTCCGAACCAAAATGTGCATGCCGCTCGTCAATCTCTCGTCCTCCTCTTCCTCCTGTGCCTTGTCCGCCTGTTCTCTTATCGTTGCGCATGCCAGTGACGCATCGAATGGAATTCCTCCATTACCATATATTCGCGGGGGGGCTTGTGTGTGTATTGCTCGAGGTTCTCCTAGTAAAAAACGGTTAGTCTGGTTTTAACTGAAGTCGACGAGGTTGAACAATAAATAGGTATGTCAAGATGAGTTATTCTCCACCAGAGATACTCCGGAAGACAGAGAACTCAGTGGTGTGCAAATATAACTAACCTAATGGGCTGTGTGCTGAGGCAAGGTGTCTCAAAACAATGGCTATGACGGTAGGTATGGTGATTAATACAAGGCCGAAAACTGCGACAACATTTATGACACCTTTGCTTCCAGCGAATGTGGATGGAACAGTGATTGTTGATTCGCAGAAAGCACCGAGACCAGTTTGTTGGACGGATGGGATAAGGTCTGTCCCTCCTAGAGTTAAGATAGAATAAATTTTGAGCAAAGGGCAGAGGCCACTCCAATGTGTGAAATGATTTTGAACATTGAGTAAAACATAACCAACGGGTTGCAAAGCAAAAGTTTCTTGAGAGGTAAGAAATGCTCGGCAATATTTAGTCATGCAACGTCGGCTCTATTTGAACAATGCTTCCAATTTAAGAATTCTCATTCCTTGGGGCATCCAAAACCATTCAGACATTCGTATTTACTTGAACATCTAAACCCTCTCAGACATTCAGACCCACTCGGATGCTTAGTCTTATGCAGACATCCAGCTCCGTTTAAACATTTAGCTTGATTCACACATCAAGGTGATTTGAAAATTTGACTTCAACTGAACATTCACATCTGCTTATGTATTAATAGTCATCTAATCAATCAGGGTATTTGAAATTCCATAAAGAATGGGACATTTGACTAGTGAACTTCCACTAATCTTCAAGGTTCTCTCTGTATATGAGAAATTATAATAGTTTTTTGAAGCCAACTATTTAAAGTCTGCGGTACTGGGTAGTTAACTTTGAGAATGTGCTTACATCCTATAGTAACTGACGTTCGAGATGACCATCAATTAGTATTGATGGGCCGAGACGCTGAGGACAGGGAAGTACACTGTTGAAAAAATAGAGAAATATTGTGTGATATAAGTTAGAATGGTAGGGGGCTTGATTGACACTAACTAATCTTAGTGTACTTGGTGAAGAAGAATGACGTCCACCACATGACTCTGGACTAGTACACCCGTTCCCCCATCAATTTTCCAAAAACATTCACTTCTAATTCACTTCTTCGCTCCTATTACCCACCCAGAAAACATCTACCAAATCCCTCATCAACACAACAAGCATTCTGACATCATATTAGTTCTCATCTCACGCTTCGATTAGTTCGCAGTAGCCTGGAGATCTTAACCTCTAGCGCCGTGCAGCCCATAGGTGCACGATAGGCCATTCTACTTTAGTACACATGAGAACTGAGATGGGCACATTGAAGATAATATTGTATTGTGGGTTCTTGGCATAGGGTATTTTTTTATGACTATGGTAGAGCTTCAAATTTGGGGCGGATTCGCTCATGATGATGGCTGTAGGGAAGGTAAATGCGAAATCTTGGGAAGGTTGGCAAAATTAGATGGGGAGATGAGACTGAAAGCTATCGATAAACTTTTGATAGATCTCGGGGTTGTTGAGAAAGTGGCTGAGAAGGACGTCGAGAATGACCCTGAAAAGGGCACTCTTTTAATTGAATTATAGTTGTTCGGGTGTTCGACGTGAACTTGGGGGTACGATTTGGACAATCTAAGGGGCATTGTTATTCAATGGATCTATGAACACTATCAAGATCATCTTGAATTCTATGGCTGCATTACTGGGTATAAGTCTCAAGGACAATTTTGATTATAAAGGGGATCTCATGTTAGATATTAGAAACTTTCGGATGGAGGGTTAGGATAATTCTGAAGCGTCAAAATTTGGAATAGTCTGGATTGTATTACGGAAATATCACATCGGCGGGAGATGGGGACAGGGGCTGGAGAATCGAATATATCTCATGTGTTTCCACAAATGAAACTCGAAATCAAAGGTTCAGCGCAATCTTGAATCGAAGTTAAGTGAGGTTCCCGAAAGATTTTAAATATCGATACACTTGTGATTCCAAGCACATCATTTTGCACGAAAAAATCCAGGAAACCCGTATCTGGAAAACATACAGGGCACACTTGAAAATCTAGGTAAAACACAACCTCTAGAATATGCGCAAAACTTACAAGTATCAGAAACCCTTCATTACTACTGTTTTCGAGACGTCCGAACACTCATCCACGAGAGTTAGGTAGTCTCTAATAGTATGAATCCTGTTCCTCAGCAGTGTAGGCAATAATATTTCCTGTAATTCGTATACGATATCGATTTTTTTCGAAATATATATATAATATAGAATTCAATATTACTAAAAGTATTCAATATTGTTTTAATATTAAATACTATTGATAAGATATAGAAATGCAAATCTCTAATTGATACAGAATAAACCGAAATATGTGAATTTAAGATTATTTCTAGATGTCAATAACATTAAATCCTACATTCAATTGAATTATTATTAATTGATAATAAACCATCAATATTATTGAATATTTTGATCTTTTTAATATCTTTAAATATGAATATCAATATTATTATATGATTTTCATGAATTTGAATATTTCGAGAGTATTTTTTCATTATCTAGGCTTTATTGAGATTGGTTTTGATTTTTAATATTATCTTTTCATTTTTATGTTTTAATGTTTTAATTTTATTATATATCTTTATACATATCTATTTAAGTGATATGTATAATAATAAGTTTATATTTCTTTAATACAAACTATCTATCATATCAAAAGCTTTATACGCGTCATTGTTTTACTATAGTATACTATTGTCTATACTATTCCTCAGATCCGATGCCATGATATTCTTCTACCCCAACTTTCTCTAGCACGAGTCCAAGGAATTAATAATCTTCAGCTTGATATCATTGAAGCTGCTAAAGATCACATAAAGTGTGTCTTCCGTGATGTGGATTGTCTATGTAAAAGATCTGAGTACTTAAAATCTCTGATTTTGAAAGGTACATTGATTGTTCAATATAACCTAGGGTTTCCAATTCTGGACTATATATCATCTAACTGAAAGAGTTCTGATTTCTCAAACCGTATAGACTATCCACATTATTTTATGAGATTAATGTCACTTAAGTTCGGATGCTATTAATTGGTGAATCTGTACGAAAGTCTCTGAGTCTGACATCAATATCTCGAATATCGAAAGTTTTCGAGGTGTTGACGAATGTGCAGATACTTAAAGAATTTCGGATATCAAATATAGTTCGATTAGCGGATCCACTTCACATGAGTACATTTTAGATAACGAAGTGACTTTTGTAGAGTATCTACTAATGCTCATCTCGCTCATGAAGAAGGATGGGATACAAATATGATTATGGGGTAAAAAAGGGAGCGGGGGAAGAAACACGGTGTGAACCACACCTTCAAGCATTTCATTCACTATATCATCCCAACCATTGCATAATTGCATACCATATATTTTCACAAAATCATCACTACCACAATCACCATCACTCAAAATCCAAATGCAAAGATAAAAATAAAAGACCAAACCAATCAATCAATCGGTTTCCAAGTTACAACACAAAACAATACACCAAGACCTCAGTAACAACAAGCACGACCAAATCCCACACGCCATCAATCTCATTCAAGCCCACCTAATTTCACCCACCAAAAGACAAACAAAATAGACAACCTTCCAAATTAACAACCAACAAAGGAAAACTAAAGACAAGAAATCAACTCTCGATCTTTCGAGGCCAGCTCTCATTCTCTCACGCTACACGCAAGCAGGCATCTACCATGCACCCACCAGTCCCAAACACCCTTCCTCCGAGAACCTATTCTCTCTGCGCTGAGCGGAAAACTTTCATAGATATAGTTAACACTAAGAGCGGCATCATATGGCCCAGGGCTTCGATACCTACGATACCATTATCCCCACTTAACAGAAAAGTGCAGTTGTCCAACTCCACGACCCTTCCTCATCATTTCTCGTCCCAAGGAATTGTTTATTGTACGAGGTAGTTACGGAATGAATTCCATCTGGGGTGTATCTGTAAAAATCAATGTAGTTGTGCTTCTCCTTGTCACTATCACTCTTTAAATCGAGTCTGACTCTGCTCTCGTAGCCATGTACGCATCCTTGAACGGTATCATTCACGACATCCTTTCCTGGGTTTGAGGCGAGAGGCACCTGTGTGTCCTTCTCGGGATCGGGGGTCGTTTGGTTGTAGTAGCATGTTATTCTTCCGTTGTCTAAATATGAAATAAAAAGATTGTTTTGTTCGAACTGGGTTTCACGGGTGTAAACCACGCTAACGTTCATGCAAGCGAGGGCAGATGAAATGAGGGCTGCAACCGAAATGAGAATGGTAGAGAATTGCATCCTGAAGTTGTTGGTCGAGGTAAAGTGATTGATAGGAAATATGTCTATAAATGAGTGTGAAAGCGTGCTTGAGCCGTAAAACTTAAAGAACGATTGTTAAGACAAAGGAAAGTTTAGAAAAGATTGTGTAATGGCAATGCCGATTGTTGGATGTTTTGATGTGGAAGCAATTGTCGATATGAGTTGTCTACCGCGTGGTTCGAAGGTCTTTATATATCTACAATTTGAATCCAAGAAGATTTGAGAACAGGGGATCAGACGTTCATTTGGCCAGGCGCTTGAATTTTTAGACAAGCTAGGTCGTATCATCCTAAGGACAAAAGGGATTCTTTACAAAGCGTTATCCTCGGGCCAATTCTGTAGAGACCCGTTGTTGTCCGAAATTGAACTTCGGTTTACTTTGAAAGGAATCAACACCTACAGTATGGCCAGCTTGGGGATTAGCTGAGAATCTGACACCGAAGTAGACGGCCGCTTTAGGATTTTCCAATAGCGTCTGAAAGATGGGATGTAGGTGGAGACAAACAAATGATCCAACCATGAGAGAACCGTCCAACATTGACAGCATGAGTATCAAGATATTGTTTATGTCAATGCACGACTTTGAAATCAAATGTGATAACAAGATAAATTCACGGAATTTATGCCAATCAGAAATTACTTTACACGAGAATGAACTTCGGCAAGCAAATGTTATTACAGTAGTATCTGTAAGTTCGGGTAAGCGAATACTCTTTCTCGCATTGACCAGCGATCCACGCACGTGGAGGATTAATCAAATCGCTCTAAGTTACCAGAAATGACTTCAATTTGTGGAGTACTACGTAAGCGTTTCGAAAGTTGGGAGAATTGACGCGACAACATAATCCTACAGCCTATAGCGGCAAAACCCAGTCTATTATCCTTATGTGGTAAGACAAGATCTTGTAAGCTCCGAACCTGCCCAGGAATTTAATCCCGTGGAGCTACACCAAAGCAAGCCAACCAACAAATCCGGATGCTTTTCGCATAGACTGCTCTCATTCTTGGACTCAACATAAGACATAGAAATAATGATTATGGTCTCTAACGGACAGCACCACTCGTGCGCCAATGGAGTAATAACACAAAAATGGCGAATTAGTATATGATCTTGCTGCTATACTCAGTAGAACTAGCAAGTTTATGCTTAATTATAGTGTCAAGAAACTGTGGTCCTGGTGGTATTCTCACTAATACCCACTGCAGACTAAAATGCCTAACCTTGACAATTCAGCTGTGGAGGTATGGAAGTCGTGGAGACCACCACTTCCAAAATTAAGTTTGGCATCACAAAAAGGGATCATGTAAAAATTGTCTTGTGTGTGATTTTGAAGCATTGCCTCTTCTTTCCGCGTAATTGTTCTATTTCTGCTTACATTTGCTGAGATTCTCCCAACCTTTAGTTTTGGCTGTTTCAATCTCCGTTCCAGCATCGGGAACAGATTGTCTAGAAAGCGAAGACTTGATCTTCCAATTTGCTGACTGGCTTTGCCTTTTTGAAGCCTAACCCTTCGGAGGCTTTCTTCATAGCACTGATCATAGGTGGTGGTCCGCAGAGCAAAAGTTTAACATCTTCTGCTGGTTTAGGAAGCCATTTCTGCATTAAATCAGCATTGATAATTGATTATATCGAAACTTTTCAGATAGACTTACAGTGATCATCTCAGGAGTGACAAAACCAACACCGCCATCCCATTTCTCGGGTGGGTTGTTCAAGACGTAGTGAACACGGAAACCCTTGTCCTGAGCAGCCAAACCGTCCAAGTCATCCTTCAACAAGATGTCCTCAGGATTGACATTTGCAAAAATTAAATCGACCTCAGTTTTATCTCCAGCAGCTCTGCCTCTGATGACAGCACGGATGATTTGTAACATGGGCGTAATACCGGTTCCACCAGCGATCATACCAAAATGACGAACCATGTTGGGAGTATAGACCATTGCACCTTTAGGACCCCGGACCTTGATAGTTTGACCAACAGTGAGGGAAGCCATATGTTTAGAGATGTTTCCGGTAGGGTAGGACTTGATGAGGAGGTCGAAGTAGCCTGGTTGGTGATCGCCAGAGACAGGTGTATAAGATCGAACGATTTCCTTGCTTGACCCATCGGGTTGGGGAAGCACAGCGGAAATGGAGATATGCTGACCGATAGGAAGACCGAGAATAGAGGTAGGCTTTGGTAGGCTGAATCGATAACTATGCCGATGTTAGAAACAGTCAAGGCAGTCTAGAATTAAACTGACATTGCTACATTGTGGGAGATGATGGTCTTCTCCTTGAGCTCAAAATCTTGAAAAACAGTTGGCTTAAGAACCGGAGTTTCTTCTGCATGGGTTGTCAGTATGTATTACATTGCTAAAGACCGGGTGCAAATCATGAACTTACGACTCGACCAAATCTTATATCCCCCGAGAACGGCAGCAAGAGCAACGGCGAACGGAAGCCAATCCTTCTTGACGATAAAACATCCAAATATCAAAAGACCAGATGGAATATAGATGCCATCAATGTATGCCTTTGACAGGAACTTATTTGCTGGTGTCGCACTCATTTTGGCAGATTTGGTGAGAGCTCAAGAAATTGTTGGGGTTTTGTTGCGATCCTTGTACTCTTTCGAAGATGCCACCGAATGAAGATCACAGTTGTACTGTGCTTATTCAATTACTCTTCCCACTGTTTCAAAAACTCTCGAGCGTTGCTTTGGAGGGGAGACCCGACTTAGAGGGAAAAGTAAGAGTGGTGGTATTGTAAGAAAGATGTACAACGTGCGGTTCTTCTCCGCGGGAAAATCAATACCAAAATGATTTAGCTCAAGTCTGTCATTGATTGTTGATTTTCGGCTGGGATCCGAGCTCGCTTGCCGAACTTTACCCCGATGTGAGGACAAGGTTTCCTCAACTCGGAGACATTCCGATAGTTGAAACTACGTTGGAACCTCAGCATATTGACAGGGCTGAATAAATTTTCAAAACCAGGTAACTTTCAGCCGCCGTGTGAAGAGATGGGTGAATCGATTCATCAGAATGGAGAGAAATTAGGCGATAAATCGGAAGATTCACCATTTCCTCTCACGGATACAGACAGATGGGTGTTATCACAAACCGACGACGAATTTCACCTGCACGATTGGGACGAGTTGAAAGAGATTATAGGTGAGCTATACTCAAGTATATCGATTATAAAAGCTTCATATCTATATTATATATGATTGCAAACATCAGAAGATATAAGAAGGATCACTAGTGTGATGACGATCGATCCCCTAGGTTCTCTCCTATGCAGCTCTCTCACATGACATGGCGTATTTAGCCCAATTCTATCTCTAATTCTGGTCAAGCAACGAATAATCTCTCAATCCTCAAACGAAAGCCCTCTGACCTTCGTCGATATATGTCTTGGTCCACAACTATTAAAGCCGAGTATGGCAGTATGATGAATTATATCCTCCAACATCGACTTCCCTGGGGTTCGCCACCGTTCACCTACATCTCCTCAATCCCGTTTGAGAGTCCCTTGGATTATAAAATCTTGCTAAATGATTGGCCATACGGTCTCTCGAAAAATGTTACCCATTTTGTGGTGTGGTCAAAAACACCGATCGCCACCGACGATGATAAGGGAGATGTGACGGATGAGAGCCGGAAAATAATTGAAAATTTCGTGAAGAGAACATTTGCCGATAGGTTGGAAGGCACTGATAGAGTGATGTGGTTTAAGAATTGGGTCGCGTTGCAGAGTGTCAGAGCCCTTGAGCACATCCATGTCTTGATCAAAGATGTCCAGAAGGAGGATATTGAGTTCTGGACAGGTAACAAGATCTAGAGCAACGGATATGCACAGGAATGTATCCCACATGTATATTGCGCACACCGCGCACACCGCCTAGTATATCGAAGCTCTATCTTGTATGACCTTGACTGGAACCAGATACAATGTCCCACCGAATACCAACAGACAAGCGACTTTACTGTCTCCTCTGTCTTCTATTGCCTGCCATTGGCATTTGTTCTTCGGGTGCTTGTGCTCTCTGACCACCACCCATCATGCCCTTTGCTCCCGACCACAGACCAAAAACCTTGTAAAGTCCATATATAGGCACAGCAGAGAAGACTAGCCAGCCCCAGTTGCCAAATATAACAACAACAACCAATGACAGCCAATGCATCCATATAATGTCAAACATATATTCTGTTAATCCTGGAGCTGCAAGGTCTTCTCCTGCGGACACCATCTTGCCAGCTTGATCGAACTTGGGACGACTGTTTTGTTCGAGGAACCATTCAATAACCCAGGGTGCGAGTGAGAAAAGTACGTATGCCCACATATTCCTTGATCGTATCAAGAAGTGGAAGAGGCAGAACAAAGCATTTGCAAGAAATGTTCCATAATGAAGGTAGTTGAGTGCTTGGATATTGGCCTTTGCTCGGTCTTTCTTCGCTTTTTGTGCCATTATGTATGAGGTAGAAAGATGATTTCGAACTTGAATATGTAGATGTGTGTAGGATCTGGCCTTTTCTAGATAGCTGGGAAACAAGATTAATTTGATATAATGTCGCCCATTGAACGATGGAGAGGTACCTTTGCAATGACAGAATCCCTCAGCTCGACTTTATGAAGGGATCAGACAGATCAAAGAACTGAGACAGAATGTTGGTTTTTGTAAAGCTCAGTCGCTTGTGATGTCCTGGCTTGTCTGGGTAATTGAGCTTCTTCACAAGGCTGAGCCTGCAAGGAACAATTCAAAAGCAGTGCTGTTGTGTACCTCGCTGACTAATACTACCAAATCCCCCCAATTGACTGATTGTTGCTGGGTGGATGGTCTGCAACCAATCATTCCCACCGCGATCAGACAAACAACAGAACAAAAATCCAAAGAGGTCGAGGATGAGCAAGGTTTTGATGTTATCCCGAATTAATAGCAAGGAACAATCATCTATAACCATACAAAATCGTTTGTATTGGATTTTGGATTCATCACATTTGCATTTGCGCGGTATACAACCTTCCCCTTTCCTTTGGTCTGGTCTGGTCTGGTCTGGTTCTCTTTATTCTTCACTATAACTTCATACAACCTTCCTTCCTTCCAAAGCAAATTCACTTCGATACCTATACACGGTCCTTAAAGTCCCATTTCAGCCTTTGCTCCTTGATACAGGCAACGGCCGTTTTTTGCCTACCTTGGCTTGTCTTTCCACCCTCATCGTTACATGATAAATAGTAACCAGCAACACCAACAACTCTGTTTTTTTACGACCGTACGATCGTATTCACGAAGTCCCTACTTGCTTCCTTTTACCTACCACTTTCAACAACAATACAACCAGATAATATTAATGTCATCGATCCTAAGGTAGCTTTCGTGGAGCTACGAAAAATTTACGTTTATCAGATCGACCAAACAACGCCACGCGCATGAGAGCTATTGTCCATTCTTGTTCGAAGTTCAAAGGAACCAACTAAGGATATCTCTTTTACCAAACCAGTTCGACCACAATCGAAAACCAGAAGCTCTGTTGACTTCATGGCGAGAACATCATAACAAACAAAAATTCGCAATTTGGGTCTACTTCCTCCTTTCACCATCTTACACAATGCCCTCCTCTAGGAAGGAATCGATCAATCCTTGTATCACGAATCAACTTTGTCAACTCATCTACTACCACATCGACAATAACCTCCTCGGGAACGCATTGTTCTTCGCAGAACGATTGCATGCATACACCCCGAAAGGTCCCGAATCCTCTTACCTTCTTTCCTTGTGCTATTTGCGACTTGGCGATTATGCTTCCGCTTTTGAGGTTGTGAAGAGCCCAAACACTCGATCAGGGCATCTTGGCTGTGCATACATCTACGCGCAAGCATGTCTTGCATTGGGAAAGCTTAAAGAAGGAATCTTGGCATTAGAAAAGAATAGAGGTTGCTGGGGGGCACAGAACTCGTTTGGTAAACATACACAATACTCACGACACCCCGATCCTGACGCATCTGCGGTTTGTTGTTTACTGGGGAAGCTCTACCGCGGTTTTGATGACAAAAAGCAGTCGATCGGTTATTTTGAAGAGGCGCTGAAATTAAATCCATTCATGTGGGATGCATTCACTAATCTTTGTGATATGGGTACAAGTGTTAGGGCCTCGAGTACTTTCAGGATGAGTGTAGAGATGGAGGCAATACTGAAATCGAATACACAAGATCGGGACGGGCCAATGGAAACATTGTCAGTGGAGGAACCTAGGCCAACCCGACCCAGTGCACGATCCTACCAGAGTGACCCTACAGATCCTTTCAATAATAATGCTTCGTCTCGATCATTTGCGGGTGGACTTTTTGGGTCACTTGCGACTTCCGCATCATCGAAACTCGCCGAAAGCAACCCGAGTCTTACAAACCTCCCCGCGACTGGAGGTGTCAGCATTAGCTCTGATACAATGGAAACGCCTACTGGACCTAGCGCCCCTCTCGATTATACCGTTGCACCTAGTCGAAAAGACAACAGTGTGGCATCTGCATTTCCCATCAACATGGAACCCCCACAGGCCCCCGTTCGCAGAAATCGGACTTTACAGGGCCTTGGTATGGATTTTAGTATGGATGTTCCCAAGATGGGCCGATCCATGACTTCAAAACGACTTCAGAAAGCGGCTGCTGAAATTTCGGAAGACAGTAGCGCGGGACATAATTCTCGCCACAACTCTGTTACGGTACCAGGTGGGGATAGGAAACGAACGGTATCCGGACAAGTAGTACCCCGACAACCTTCGGAAGATCCTGGAGCACCTCAGAGAAGAAGTGTTAGGTTGATCAACCAATTCCGACCGACAAGCACCAAATCCTCCAGCAATCTTGCGACTGTGGGGCCTGCCCCTGGAAGAGAATTAAAGAAAGCTAGACCTCCGATATCGAAAATGATGCGTCCGACTGGGTCCTCTACGGCTGGCAGACAGGTCAGTGGTAATCGAAAACCAGTGGAAGATTCTATGGAATTAGACCAAAGGGAAGGAGAGACAAGACCTCGGGTATCCACAAAATCTTTTGGTACTAGATCATCAGAATCGAACTCTGGAACCCGAGAGGAAGCTTTGAGATGGCTTCTCGATCTGTTCAAGAAGTTTGGGACTGGTTATTTTCTACTTGCAAGATTTCAATCTCATCAGGCCTTAGAAGCGTTCTCTACACTGTCTACTCAACAGCAAGATACTCCTTGGGTTTTGTCACAAATGGGTCGTGCTCATTACGAACAAGGGTCGTATACTGAAGCGGAATTCTTGTATAGACGAATTCGACAGATAGCACCAACACGCTTTCAGGATATGGAGATTTATTCTACTGTGCTGTGGCATCTGAAGAAAGAAACTGATCTGGCTTTCCTAGCCCATGAATTGGTGGATTCTTCGTGGCAATCGCCAGAAGCTTGGTGTGCGCTTGGAAATTCCTGGTCGCTCATGCGAGATCACGAACAAGCTTTACGGTGTTTCAAACGCGCTACACAATTGAATCCTAAGTTTGCTTATGCTTTTACACTTCAAGGTCACGAGCATGTTATGAATGAAGAATATGATAAAGCACTTACTTCATATAGACATGCAATGGCTGTTGACAGGCGACACTACAATGCCTACTACGGAGTTGGCAAAGTGTACGAAAAAATGGGTAATTACGACAAAGCATTTATACACTTCGAAGCCGCCTCGAAGATCAACCCAACAAATGCGGTTCTTTTGGGTCTTATGGGAAGTGTTGTCGACAAGAAAGGAAACAAAGGTCTAGCACTTTCATACTTCAAGAAGGCAATTGACCTGGATCCAAAGTCAGCATTGACTCGTTTCAAGAAAGCCCGCTGCTTGATGACGATGGGGAGATTGGAGGATGCCTTAGATGAATTGAAGATCTTGAAAGACCTGGCTCCTGATGAGGCAATGGTTCACTTCTTACTAGGGAGAATATACAAGAGTATGAAACAAAAGGGCGCTTCGGTCAGGCATTTTACCATTGCTTTAAACCTAGATCCAAAGGTATATATATGCAAATGTTATTGATCAAAAAACCCACCACTAATCAAAAACAGGCAAGTCAACAAATTAAGGAAGCGATCGAAAGTCTAGAGCAAGGAGATGACGATGATGATGACGAGGCCAGCATGATGGGCTGATTTGAAATGACTGTACCCGAAATCTCGCCCACAATGGATCTCCTTCAAATTACATCGTTCTTTTTGTTTTCGCGTTGCGTTTCAAATCATCTCTTTCAAAGATACCCATTAGTTATCGACCTATTATTATCTCCAATCATTCGATGGCCTTTTAATAACAGATGGCTTCAATGCCCAACCTTCACTGCTCACACCGTACTTGAGTATTCCTACAAAAACTACAATTAAAAAAGCTGTCAACCCCACAGCAAAACATGATGATACGATACAACTGGAAGATGATCGGATACGATGGGAAAAGATTCTTAGCATTTGCATTGGGTTGGCGTTCTTCTTTCCGGCATAGTTTCTCTTCAAAGATGAGTCAATGGACAGTAAAATCCTTTTCTCTTCTTGACACACAATTTGTCGATTGCATCATATCACTACGCTAGATTTGCTCTAGTGATGGATGGCCACTCTTCAGTGACCTGGAAGGGCAATCACAGCGGGACCTAAACATTCAGGGGCGAGGAGGGCGTGTAAAATGAATTATTGTAGATTATAATCATCTCTTTCAATACCCATTCCGAGGGTCGTAGGCAGGGGGGGGAAGGAAGAAAAAAAGTTGAAGATGGAAAGAATTGAATCACACTTTTCCACTACGAGAGTCAAATCTTCCTTGAATTGATGTGATCGCCATTGCGTGAGTGATTTAAATGTTTGCACCCTATTGAGAAATACTGGTGGCGCTATAAGGTGGCGAGTGTCGCCCCATTTGTTGTTGTGGTTACTTGCCTCTCCCTGTCTTTTATTTTAGGGGTAGTTCTAGATAATCATTTTGATGGAGTTTATTCTAGGGGTGGTTTGTGTTTACCACATTTTTATCTGGATTATGATGAGTGTCTTTGTTCTTATTGGAACAATGGCTTTGTTTTGTTGTTCTTGTGCTTGACTTGTATGAACTTGATATATAAATACATCGACATTTGTGGAGATGACTTTGTTGCATGTTTTGAGCTGGGGGAACAATAGTCTTGTTAGAAGAACTTTGTTCAGGATAGCCTTCAATTAAGGAAACATCCTGAAAAATATTCTTCACCTGTTATTCAGATCGCGAACAATGTCATTGAGGGATTGATAAATATCCGGGTGTTCTTTCTGGGTTCTGGCTATTCAAACTTCAGTCATCTCCAAACCTTCACTACTTTAAGGACCTACTGAACCATTTCAACGACCAGCACTAGACATCTTCCAATTACTTTTAAAAGATGTGTCTCACCCTTACTTTAAAGTATTTGGCGTGTGGCCACGAAGAATCATACATTCGTCCTTGCGGGCGTGATGGCATGCGTTGCAATATGATGACAGTCCACACCTGCAATCTAAGAACCGAAGTGTGCCGTAACTGTTGGATGCTTCATGACTTTAGACAAGCCCCTAGTTACAAACCCGAGGAGGCAATGACAGAAAATGACGTACTGCGTTATCAGGATTGGAATCTAGTAGCTGAAACACAAGACTTACAAGCTTACCTCCATAACTTACCCCTCCCCAACCTTGTTAATCAATATGCCCACTTCTATTTGACAAATACAGTGGTATTTGATTTCCTTAATCAGAGTGCTTTGAGAGTACTCGATGAGATTGTTAAACATCATTTGGTTCCAGCTTTCCAGGCGCGTATCATTAACGGTGAGAATATACCACTTGCTGACAGAATACAAACCCTGAACATTCGTCAAATTCTGGTGTTAAATTATGCTCTGGCAAAGGCTTCTCAAGCTTTGGGCGACGATGACTGGAGAATCGCGATGGGCTATAGAGTCTTCACAAACTTCGACAATTCAAGACATTTCACTCGTCTCGAAGACCTGCAAGCAGTCATAGACGATTGCGGCATTTGCCGAAATGCTTTGAATCACCATGATGAAGGAGAAATGAATCGTGCTCTAGTCAAGACAATCTGCAATCATATGTTTCATGAACGCTGTTTAGAGCGTTAGTTTGTATCATCTGCACGAGGCGACTGCCCTATGTGCAGAAGATCGCTTCGCGAAACGGAACTCCCACGAATCTCTACCCGCCTGGAAATAGATGGGCCTTTCCCAGAATGGCTAACGATTTTAAAAAGGTGTATTCGCCCAGTTATTCCTCATCCTGCAGTGATCACCGATCAAGACATGGCACGACTAGAACTCGCGGTTGTAGACGCACGTGCAGCTCTCGAAACCGCCAGACAAGAATTCAAGATCGCCGATAGACGTGTCCGCGCGGCAATAAAAGCCATTGACACTCGGGTACTCGTTCCTCTGGAGGATCTCCGTACATTCCAAGATCGATTGCTTGAATCTGCTGTGGATATCGAGGAACACGATTTCCGAGACTATCAATATGTACTTCGTCAACAACAAAGAACACGTCTAATAAGCGAGAGTTTTCTTCGTGATTGTTTGCACAGGAGACAAGAGAAGGATCACGCATATGATCTCGCTCAGTCGAGATACCATGCTGCTGCGAGAGCGTTGAAGATGGCGCGGGATGTTGTGACGGCGCGGGGTGTGTAGGGAGTTGAAGAGGCTGAGAGAGCAGAAGACTCTGATGATTCCGATTGTTCTGATGGAGGTGAGCGTGCGATAAAACGGAGGATGATGAATAACTTGTCGATTCACTAAATTGTAAAATTACCCCCCTATTTCGATTGTTTCACTTCACACGATAGCTAGTTCTATTTCCATTTCTTCATTCAAAGTTGTCTTCTACATTCACATACAACAAAACATAAAAAATTAAAAAATAAAATCGATACCAATAAAATTTCGACCATACAATCTGCCACGTGACCATGTGCTAAATTCGATTTCGCTTCAAAAAATTCTATTTCCAGACCCCGTTTTTGTTTCATGCCTCAACTAATTAAAGTCCTTTCATAGAAGAGTTGCGAGTACATATCGTATATCGGTATGGAAGTTCTTTCCATGGACGTTCAATAAAATCAGATTTGATTCCACTGATCACTACCATCAAGCTGATGAACTAAACATGAATTCCAAATAGCGAAAATCAACAGGTAACATCTTGAGCATGTATGTACACTTCAATTTATTCATTGTTCTTTCTTCAAGAATTTTTTGACCAATGCAATTGGAGTTGAAAGAAATTGTATCCTGAATAGCCCTTTCTTTATGCTGTTGAAAGAGAATTTGTCGACCCCCCAAAATTAAGCGAGGGCGGGAATATTGGGAGGGGAGGGGAAGAGGAGCAGTGTTGAGAGAACATAAGATTGAGATAGAAAGATTAATTGAAGTAGAGGTGAAAGTATGCTAGTATTGAAGTGAAAGGATAAGGGAGTCTAATAGAGAAGACTAATAACAGAAGTACAAGTGGTAAAGGAGATGAATGATGAAAGAATGAAGAACATGGGGTGGAAAGGCGGCGGTAGAAAAGTTTCTGTATCATGGAAGTTGAACATGGATGTTTCGTTTTTGTGGCCATTGGAAATGGTGATCAGTCACATATTAGTTTTATTATTAGTTCTCTTCACCAGCAAAAGAAATGGCTTTGTTGGGGGTGTGCATGTTTTCTTTGTGTTAATCCATTGCTTTGTTGTATTCCCTTATTTCGAGTCTATTGTAATGTTGTTTCTATGCCTTTTGTCTTTGAGACTCAGTAGCAATCTGTAAATGGATCAAGATAAAGGCATATTCTTGTGTATTCCCTGGGAGCTGTTTAACAATTCAGGCCATGAACAATGTCGTAAGGTTTATGTTAAATTCTCGAGATTTATTCCAAGATACTTTCATCTCATTCTCATCATATCTAGACCACTATACCTAACATCTATCTATTTTTTAGAAACTATCAAGCTCCTTGAAAACACTTAGTGCAAGATGTGTATTACCATTAATTTCACCTTCTCAGAGTGTGGCCATGGAGCCCACTTCATCCGACCTTGCCAGGAAGATGGTTCTCTCTGCGGAAATATGGTGACTGACCCTATGGTGTTCACACATGCTGACTTCTGTAATGAATGCTTTATGCTTCCCGATCCCAGAATATCTAAGCCTGATGAAAACCAACTTGGATACCCATCAATTGATCGAATGGTAGAGCTTTATCAAATCCGGAATGTTGAAGATGAAACCAATGATTTACAAGTTCGGTTCCAAAACCTACCCCTTCCTGATGATTTTTGAGGTCCCACTTACCGTTTATCTAATTGTAGAACTTTGATTCTGCTTCCTAGAGACAGTCTCGATGTGCTATTTCTTATGGTGAATCAGCGCCTGATTCCTGACTTTTGGCTTCGCGTACTCCGCGGCGAATTCCCATCTCCTTTAATCAGACATTCAATTTTACACCTTCGACAAATCATGATGCTGAATCTCGCACTTCATCGTTCGCGAACAACTCTTTCGGCAATTGAATGGTACATTGCTATGGGCTATGGACTTTTCTACCACGCCGATGCTACTTCGTGTGATGATGATTGTGGGATTTGTCGCCAGCCGCTCAACCAGATAGGTGAGGAAGGCGTACCGGCTAAAACCCAATGCAATCATATATTCCATTTGGAATGTCTTGGGGAATGGATTAACGTGTCTCCTAATGGCGATTTTCCAGCTTGTAGAAAGATGCTTCGCAAGGCACTTGAACCTATTCATGATACCCCAGCGCGAGGCCCACATCCAGAATGGCTTGTATCCCTAATGCCCCCCGCTCCACAACTTCCCCCCAATCACGAAATTCTCACAGCACAAGAACTTATACAGTTAGAGGCTGATGTCGAAGATGCGCGTTCGAGAGCCGGAGAAACTGACCAAAATCTCACTGATCTCGAGGATGAACTACAGCTTCCCAGAGAAGACTTTTCTAGTCTAGAAATCCAAAGTATTGAACAGGTTCAGAACTCAAGTGAAATTGTTATGATGAATCTCACGGGATTGTCTGCAGAAAACTACGCCAGGTATCAAAATCAGGTTAGGCTCCATCAAATGAGTCTCACACAGTTTGCTACGTCTTCTCATAGACTTGGTGAACGGAGGCGAGAGTTAGAAAGACTCCATGAATACGTTCAGAGAATTTATCCTACTACCATACTCGATATTGTGAGAGCTGAAGTTGATTTTCTAATCGGGATCCTAGACTAGTCATTGGAATAGTATATGACGTATTCCGTACACAACCCCTCGAGGTTTCGAATAATAGATCGTTAACGCTATCATTTTATTCAATTCCTCTACTTGACAGTAAGTACCATGAACCCATTTCCTTACACATACAATATAACCTACATAAATCACAACCCCAAAATCTCTTAAAATTCCCACGTGACAAAATACTGAGCTTGAATGATTAAAATCAGGTTTACCGAAACACCCTAAAAGCCAGATCACAATTTATAAATTACAACGCCCTATAAACGGTTTCAAAACAAAGTATATCTTTAATTCTATATCGATTAATGACAAGCTTATAAGCTACATCTAATTTTCTCTTTGAAATCATATCATTGATTTTTGACCTCTAAAATTCTTTATTCTCTCTTCACTTTCACGGAGCTAGCTAGACATAATAAAACTATACGGCCTGAAGAACTTCAGTTGATGTTGAGATTAGGAAGAAAAAAGAAGAGCCGTCTATGGAGGGTAGAAACACTACTTCTCATCTTTATCTTTTTACATAGAGTCATCAACCAAGCCTCGCATCGAATTTTGGTCATGATTAGTTGGATGAGTTTTCAAAGTACAGCTATAAAATTTAATCTAAATGGTGCATACAGGTTAGGGATTCTATCAGCATATTTCTCTCTCTTATAGCTGACGAAATGCGGGATTGTCTGAAGTATATTTAATTCTGGGTAACTCTATATATTTCTTTGAGACCTCATGAGTCATAATTCAGCCAGACGAAAGAAACTAATCAATGACGTGGCTTCTTCTCGATTCTGGTAAGTCATAAAGCCCCATCATAACATCCTAGTACAGCACACTCTTTTCTTAAATCGTCCTTACTATTATCCCCGATTCGAAACAAACGAAATTTCTCAAAATCAATACCACATTATTTTCTACCCGCTTCTTTAATGAATCAACCTAGCAATCGACTTCAAGAGATCTTCAATAGCCTCATTGTTACCACCCTGTCTCTTTCCAATAGTAGAATCTCCGTGAGAACCTGCTACCAAGGGATGTGCCTCGATATCGATTACTATCGAGCTATCGGGTCAGCTCATCAAGCTTGATGTGAGTTTAAGAGAAAATGCTCGGGGTTACATACCATCATTCATCATGACGCGGGCCTTACGAGCCATGAATATAGCGATGCCGGCTAGTGCTGCAGAGACGACACCAAAAATGAGGGCAAGAGCATCACTTGTTGAAACTCGAGATTAAATTAGCTTAGATTGAAAGAAAGCTTCGAAGCAGTTCAACATACGCATTGCGAAGTTCAAGCTGTGATGTTCTCAATTATACAGGGAAAAAAGCCAAGATGTGGCAGGGGATGCAGAGATAGTTGTATGATACGAAGCGAGGCTGTGGCGGAGTTCGTGGGACCATAGAAGCCTGGAGGTACGGGATGAAGATTTCTTGGAGACGAAATAGTAAGTTGGTTCCGGATGATATCATAAATGGGAAGGTACAGGGCGAAGATTATAGTGGAGGCGGAGTAGAGCTATGAGGCTGGGTGTGAAACGCGAAGGTGTCCGGTCAGGCTTTCAAGTATAACGTGAAGATTTGGATCAGTAGTTAACCAAGTGCTGATGAAGTTCTCTGGAGTCTACGAATCATATCAAATCTACGGGGCATTATCAAATACTTATAGAAAAATCCTCATAAGGCTGTTTGGATTATCAACAAGTCTGCAGTAAAGCTACGTTGTGGAATTATGGTTTACTGACCCAAAATACCTACCCATTTTTTTCTCTTGGAGATGATATTGGGTTGTTCCCACCACAATAGATGCTATCTAAAGCGACTCTTCTCACATGAAATGTCGTCATTGAGGCAGTGCTAGTGTCAGACTATCATTATCTGAATTTCGAATGTTTGCGCGTCTCTATTAGTTAGGCATCCAAGTGTCTAATTTCTTATTGAATTTCATTTGGCTATTATGACTGGCTGTATACCATCCCTATCTCTCTCTACAAATAACCCATGTTGTGTTTATGATCACCGAGGCGTACTTGGGATTCATAATAACGTTGTTGGATCATAGTTGGTCGAGACTGTTGAAACACATGCTTAGTGCATACCAATGTAACATCGGGGTATCTACTGTGTCATGGATGCATACTTGATTTGGCGGTCAGTTGAAAGTATATGAGATCTCTATTGCCAAAATACCTGCGAGACTCTACAGCCAATCCGACCATATGATGTTAGGACACAACTTCGAACAATAATACTATGCTCGTACATAATTATTATAATTCAAGTTTCTTTCCCTGAAAAGACTATTAATATTAAGATCTGGTAATTATACAAATGAAAAGTGGTTGCGATTTGAAAACGCAGCTGTTTCACAACACGGTCTCTGTCCAGTTTGTATGGGGTCGAGCTTGCCCTGATATTTCAGACTTAATATGCTCGATAAACCTTCAATACACAAGACAGATTCATCGATACCATTCAAAGCTTCATGTAAGTAATATTACACTGCCTTTTAGCGTTGCAACACTGCGTGCATGAGCAAGCATAGTCGTCCGAATATGGATCATGTGACTGCGCTAGCGTTAGCGCTAGCGCCTCCCGATACTATGGTAATACGTTTCATAGCCTTAGCTTTTAGAACCTCGAGCAACATTATAATAGTATGAATCATAATACTATATTGATTTTACTATCTTTATAATAATATCAATATTAATTAGTAATATTATAGATTGAAAACCTAATACTTTAATTTTAATTACAATATATATTTATAATTAATATTAATATTTCTTTAAGGAGATATAAGCTTTTATATTAATTTAATATAGTTTAGTATTTGTTCTTATATAAATAGAAATTATTGATAATAGTAGTAGTAGTAAAGTCTTAATCGATTTAGTCTATTTATAGCTAAGCTATACTAATTATATAATGTCTTTATATATTTCTAATTATATAAAATAGATAGGGAAAAATAATGAAAACTCATTTCCTTTTGAAGTTTATTCGAGTTTGTTATTATAAAATTCTATTATATTATAAAACCTTTTAATCTTTTTATTTATTTATTTATAATTTCTATAACATAGTTTATTAATACGTATATTATATTAATACGTATACTACTTTTACCTTAATTTATACTCTTTAATCTCAATATATAATTTATCAATCATTTATTATATAATCGAATAATAAAAAAGGAAAATACTTTTAATTATTGAAGCTATTGAAAAAAATAAAAAACTTTTAATTTGAAAAGTTATTAAGTTATATAATATTATTGTTGGGACAGGGATCATGTGACTACGCTAGCGTTGACGCTAGCGTCTTCCGACACTACAGCAATACGTTTCGTAGCCCTAGCTTTTAGAACCTCAAGCAATATAACAACAGTGTGAACCATAGTACTATATTGACTTCACCATCCCCATGGTGATACCAACAATTATATATATAATACTTATTTGAAGAATAAATGAAATAATTTTTATAATTAAATTTCGATTATAAAATCTGAAATTTATTAAAATAAAAAAATAAAAAAATATTTCATATATTCTTAATATAAATTCAAAAGGTTTTTCTTTTAAATTTAAAAGAATAAAAGATATAATAAATTATATTCTTAAATTGAAAGAAGGAAAAGCTATTAAAAAGCTTTAAGTATATTAATTTTTAAAACGATATAAAGAATTAAAAATACATTTTAATTATATTTATAACTTTCAAAAAGTTTTTTATAAAAATCTTAAGCTTTTTAAAGAGTAATTTCAATTAATTATAAATATATAAGCGAAATATAGCATTTTGAATAAAGATTTCTATAATTTTAATGAAATAGGCTTTATAATGAAAATTATATATATAGTAATAATTATTATTAATACTAAGAGATATAATAAAAGTAAATTAATATAATTAGATAATCAAGAATGAACTATAATAATAATATATGGAAATAAAGAGAATGAAACTATTCTTTTATTTTTAATAATTCAAGAATAGATTTATTTCTTTAATTAATATATCGGAATTAATTTCCCTATAGACTAGACTATTAAACCTATATTTAATAAATAAATAAACAATAAAATAAATTTAAAATAATTAAAACACTTCGATAAGTATATTAAGAATTAAAGAAAGAGTAAATATCAAATGTTGATGTTGAATAAGTATAAAAGTTATAAATCAATGGCTTTTCAAGTATATTATAAAGAGAATAATATTATATATTTATATTTACTATTATATTCAAATTATTTAATTTAATTATTTGATATTAACTATTTTAATAATCTAAAATGTTTATATAATAATCAAATTAATGAATTTATTAAGGTATATATTAATTATATTTCAAAAATTATATATAAGAAATCAATTACTTTTTAGAATATAAAATTAGGATTTCAAAAAATAGATTTAATTCTATTTAATTTTAAAGCTATATTTTTGAAATTAGATATTCGAATTCATATATCTACCCTCCCCTTTTTCAATTTAAATCAATAAATCTTTTAAATTATTTATAATCTAATTAAATTTCTTTCTCAATTAATATTAATTAAATCTCGAATAACTTATTATCAATTAAGTTTATTTACACCTATATTTGAGATTGTACTAATTTTAATTAAAGATATAAAACAATTAGTTTATAAAAATATACTTCTAAATATAAAGATTTATATACTTTGAATAATAAATAAAGTATTAAGTAAGTATTGATATATAAAGAAAACCTAATTATATTAAGAAGAAATATTTATTGAATAAAAAACTTTTAATATATTATTTTAATAAAAGATTGATATTTAAATTCAATACAATAAATATCAAAAAGAAAGTAAATCTAATAAAAAAGTATTTTTTATTTAATATTATAGTAAATACGAAAAGATAGATTATAATATAGGAATCTATTAAAATAATATAATAGATTTTAGATTATTAAATTTTAAATAATTTTAATTAATTAATTCAACTATTATTGAATAATATAGATTTGAAAGTGTAAATTAAGATAAAAGTAGTATATATACTGATATAATGTACATATTAATACACTATATTAATCTTTTGTTTTTTATATTTGTTTTTATTATCTCTTTTTATTTTATTTAATTCCTTTTAATATATTAAATCTTATAATTAATATATTATTATTTTATTATAAAGATATTTTCACCTTTAGGTTATTAATTCTTAATCTTCTTTTTTCAATATTTTAATTCAATTAGATTTTATTCGAAATGTATTATTTTTATTCTTATTTTAATTTTGTTTTATTAATATTGTTTTTTTAATAGGGGGATTCTAAAGTTTTGTAATAGAGAAGGTTGATATTTATATAATTAATCTCAATTTATATTTAATGTATTAATAATTTAAAACAAATCATATAATAAGTATAAAACGGATTACAATATCGATTTTTAATATAATATATATTTTATATTATTGATAATTATTACTTTCTTTTCGAATAATTGATAATGTATTATATATTATAAAGAAGTACGATTGATATTGATGTATTATAATTTCTATTATATTTTAAAATCATTCTCATGAATTTTATTATATTAAAATATTAGGGATATCGTTTCCTTATATAAAGTGATTATAAGTATTATGTAAAGGTTTTATTTCTATGTATTAATAATTTTATGAAAAAAATTCTTAAAACAAATAAAACTTTTTAAAAAGATTTTCCTTCTTCTTTATATATAAGACTTCTTTATAAGATTACTAAGTATTAAAAGATTCGAATTATTATAGAAATCTTTAAAAAATTCTTTTTACTAATTTATTTAATATAATTATTGTATATAATAATATTAATTTTTTTAAATATCCTAAATAAATATAATATACCTTCTCTTTTATATTAATAATAACAATTACTTAATTCAAGTAGATATTAATTTAATAATTATAGGAGAGAGTATAGAATAATTCTCTGGTTTGAATGTAATATAAATTAGAGAGTTATTTCGAAAAAGCTCTTCTTGATTTTTTTCGTGTTTTATTAATATATGTATATCTATGTTCTTTTTAATAAATATTAATTAAATCACTTCATATTATTATAATATTAAAAGGACTGATCATAATAATCAAATCCATTATTATTATAAAGAAATAAAAATTTAATATTATAAGAAAAATTCAGAAATTCTTTATAAGAAAGAATACTATTATAATATTAAATAAAGAATTCTTTATTTAAAAGAAAATCCTTTATTAATTCTTTATTCGAAATTATAATTCATTATTTTGAAATTTTTGAAATATTATGTAGAAGCTATTTCAAATTTAGAATAACAGATGTAATAATAAATTTTCCTTATTAAAAAGTTGATTTGAAATCAATAAAAAAACGATTTTAAAACGATTTTGATTTCAAATCAATTCTAATTTTAAACCAGATTTATAATATACACTACCTATATATTTGTTACGGAGGTACCCGCACCGCAACATGGATTATAAGATAAACCTAAGGCCTTGGTGTTGGAACCTACGAAAACAGCACTGTAGGGATAGTTGGATTAAAGGGTAATGAAAGATAGTGGTAACCGAATCAATAAGCAATGATTAAAAGATAGGTACATATCTTTTGTTGGCACCTATCCTACAGTAGGCATAGGAGGGATAGTGGTTATAGGTTATCTAGTAAGCACAGGTTAGATAAGCAGTAGTATCATATAGGTCACGGGGCAAGTGTCACGTGATGGATAGACAGGATAGGCAAGCTATCCAGGCTATCCGTGGATAGACAGGATAGACAGTCTACCCAAGCTATCCAGACGAGAACGAAGGTCTATATAAGGGAATGGGTTTCATTACAATGTAGAGCTTCGTGCTCAAGAACAATCATTAGTTTCATTACTATAGTTACGAGAATTGCAACCAGTTACAACCTTATTGAATTCCTACTTGAAGTCTAGTCTAAACCACCTCGAGAGATCTCTAGACACTTCCACGTGACCCTAGAGGCAGCTTCCGTAACAATATTATAGATCATATAGAGGATTAAAAAAAGTATAAATAAATGACTTAAGCTTTTAAAGAAAGATCTTATTTAAGTACTCACTTTCAAAAACTTCTTAAATAATTAATCAATATATAAATCCAATTGAGATTCTATTTATATATTATAATAATTCTATTTAATAATTTTATTTAAAAATTCTATTAGTCTAAGCTTTTCATATACTACTATTAGTATAGTACTATTGCTAATAGAGCCTAGTCTACCCCCTGCTAAGCGTATAACCTGTAATAGAACTTAGAATAAAAATGTTAAAAGTACTGATTTAAAAAAAGAAATATTAATATATACACGAACTATTTCTAGTAGTTATTATTTATATAATAATAATTTAAATAAATATCTAGAATATTTAATTCTTTATTATTTTAATTTATAATCCTTTATCTATTTATAAAAATTCTCATAGTATTCTATTTTATTTTTATTCTTTTCTTATTCATTTTTATTTATCTTTATTTATTTATCTTTATTTATCTTTATTTATCTTTATTTATCTTTATTTATCTTTATTTATCTTTATTTATCTTTATTTAATCCTATTTCATCTCATTTTATTTTATTTCATTCTATTTCATTCTATTCTATTTTATTTCATTCTATTTCATTCTATTCTATTTATTTCATTCTATTTCATTTTATTCTATTTTATTTTATTCTATTCTATTTTATTTTATTTTATTCTATTTTATTTTATTTTATTTTATTTTATTTTATTTTATTCTATTTCGTCTTATTTTATTCTATTCTATTTCATCTTATTTCATTCTATTCTATCTCATTTTATTTTATTCTATTCTATTCTATTCTATTCTATTCATTCTATTCTATTCTATTCTATTCTATTCTATCCCATCCCATCCCATCCCATCCCATCTCATCCAACCCTCAAACCAACCCTCAAACCCCACCCCCAAACCAATCACCCACAACCATCAAATCCAACCCATCCTCAAAATCCAAACATCTCAAATACCAAAATATCCCACAATTTCCACCCCCTCATTCAAACAACCCCATATATTATTAAACTACCTATATACAATCTAATCTACATTATCAAAATCTCCTTTTCCCCCTCCCTCTTCTTCTCCCCCTCCCTCCCTCCCTCAATTTCCAACTAAAAAACACACTACACCACACCACACCATACTAATCCTATTCATGATATATTCACATAATCCACACACTCATACACACACAACCTCATGCATCAAAACTCCAATATCAAAACTCAATTTTCAATCCCAATTCTCATTACCTAGATAGATAAATATCAATCAATCCAATTCATTCCACTCCAGCCACTAATAAAAATAAGCGAGTTTTTCCTCTTTTACCCCTGATTTTCATCCTGTGACTACATGTCCCATTCACAAAAAATCCAGACATTCAAAAAATCACCAGTTTTAATTTTTTACTTCACTTCACTTTACTTCAATTCAACTCATCTATTTTCTCACCAACGTCTCATCTTATAATTTCAACAACCTTCTAATGCATTTCTCTACCTGCCACCGACCATTCACGCATCTACCTCATTTCTCTCGGTCCCCCACCCACCCCCACGCCAACCCCCTATCTACTTCTCGGTTACGAAACAATCACTCCGTACTCAGCCATCAATGAAAAAACAGCCCCATCCTATCCCATTCCATCCATTAATTCCATCCCTTCCTCCCCCTTCCTCGCACAACAAATATTAACATTCCGAATTCCCACAGGGTATAAAATCCCCGCCCACCCGTCCTTCCGTCCATCCATCCATCCATCCGATCCTCTCTCCCCCCACCCCTACCTTCCACAACATCATCCCATCCACCCTGTTTCCCGATCCCAAATAATATACACAAATCCGACACTCCCTCAAATCCCATCCCGTTCCTCCCCACCCAAATCCCTATTATATAAACAAAACATCCGTGGAACTGAATCGAATGGTAACATATACATTCGTACCCTCGTACTTCCATCTGTCCAGCCCTCTAAACCCCAAACCAAAATCCATAAACACCATGCTAGAAACCATGCATGCAAGTTCTCCATCAAAAACATCGTAATACAAGCGCAAGCAAAACTCACGTGAAGAGAAGAAAAAAAGAGGTCAAATCTCGATCTTTGCTGTTTTGATAATAGAACGTGAAAAGAAGAGATTGTCATGTAAACAACGAAGCAAATAACCAATCGGTCAACTCAAGTCGAGGCTAAAATCAATGCCGGGATCATGCAGGGAAGATTGAGGTTGCATGTCGACATTTCAAGTCAATCCGCCCTTCAAAATTCCCCACCACCTCTGACCTCCTCAGGAATCACCTCTTCTCTCCATTTGACACCACCCTCCACATCAACACCTCCTTTGACCCACTCATTCTCCTGAACCTTTTCCAATGTCCATCTACTCCTTGCTCTCTTCAACAATCCCTCTGTAATCTCCATTGCACCTAACAATCCCTTTTCCTTGAATTTATCCGGGTCACTTTCATGATCTCCCTCTTCACCGAAATATTCAATCCATCTCCATTCAACTCGTGCAATTCGATGACTTGTTCGACTGCGTTGTTTGTGTCCTTCTGGCATTCCGGGATTAGGATCGAATGGTAATCTACTTTCCAGTAATGCATAAAGTAAGACACCCAGAGACCAAGCATCAGTAGCGCGTCCATCATATGGTTGACCCATGATAACTTCCGGGGCAGCATAATCATCTGATCCACAACGGGTAGTAAGTTTTTCATCATCGGCTACGCGGCGAGAGAGACCGAGATCGGTGAGGGTAATGATGGAGTAAGGGTATTTAGTCCAGTCTTGAGGTTTGGCAAGTTCATGTTGAGGAAGGTTGACCAAGACATCTGAACAAAGAGACTCGGTTAGTATGTGATGTTTGACTTTGAGTAGATCATTAAAGGAAACATTTAAAAACTCACTTTCTAATTTGATATCCCGGTGAACAATACGTCTATCGTGCAAATATTGAACAGCACCAATCAGCTCTGCAAACATCCGTCTAAGTAACGATGGGACAAGAATATCTCGATGCTGACTGGCCACTTCAAATAAATCTCCACCGGGACAATAACTTAAAACCAAAATGGCTCTTGTCTCTTCTATGCTCCAAGCTTTGAGGTGAACCAATGAAGGATGATGTATCGATTTCATGATTTCCAATTCACGTTTGAGTGACATTTCTACTCTTTCTTCAGACGCCCCTCCTTTCGGACCATGTTCACAAATCTTAATCGCTACCAATTTTTTCCGGTCGACTTTTGTCTCAACAGGTGTAACAATCGATTCAATTCCGAACACATTATCTTCATCAATGCGACCTTCATCATCTTGGACTTGACTGGTAGCCAAAATCACTTTGCTGAAAGTGCCTTGACCCAAAACTTTTATACCTCTCCATCTTCGTCGTTTAGAATCATTTCTAGTATACGCATCAAAGTATTCATATCTCGATTTGCGAAGAGCTCTAGGAATGCTGGTAGTGGTCAATGATGAATCACTATCACTACTTTCCCCTCCTGTTCGACTCGATGGTGGGGTTGGTGGTCTTGGTATGGGAGCCAATCCTCGTTGAACTGCTAAATGTGGTTCTCTCCGCATATGCATGTCTGATTGTGGACCATCTACCGCGCCATCCATCATTGGAGCATGTGAACCCGATACAGTGACGTTTCGAGGTTTGGGTGCTTGAGAAGCTTCCGGTACATATTCGCTCATGCTTCTATTCCTGGTATGTCCTTCTGCGTTCTTTTTTCGATTTATTTGAGCTTCCGTCAACCCGGATTCGGCAGCAGTTGTTATTAATCCATGATATGCCCTTCTCTTTTGTTGGTTTGCCATCGCAGAAGAAACCGATTCACCATTTGATGTGATCAGAGCCGAATCCGGATGTATAGGTAGCATTTGCTCGCGGGATGTTCGTCTCGAGTTCAATCGTTTCCATGGTCCAGGTGAATCTCCCGACATGAGTGGTGAGGGTAGAGGGGTAACGTCTGCCATTGCGTTCAACATTGGTGAGGATAATGCTGAGTTTGGCGCCGAACCGTTGCTACCTATACTACTCGCCAGGACATTCTTCACACTCGGAGTTCGCGCGAGAGACATTCCTATCTGTCCACCGGATCTTGATGGAATTCGTATAGTATCGGAAGATTCGCGCTCACTAATTCCGGTTCCCGTACTCGCAGATGTGAGTGTATGACCTGGAACGATATCGGTTTGTATTCGCAGACCCGCGCTTAGAGGACTCGGAATTTGACTATATGACGAATCTATAATTGGGTGAAGACGAGAAGAGGTGTCAAGCGCGAGTGGGGTGTATGGTTCGTTTGTTGAAGTGGATCTGCTGTGAGGGGGTGAAGGTGCTATGGTATTCGATTTGAAAATGGCAGTAAAAGCTGGGATTTGATTTGATTGAAGAGGTAAAGGTAAAGAAATGTTTGAGTTTTGTGTTGCTTTTACATCGTTCATAAAAGTGGTGGTTGTTGTTGTTGTTGTACTATGCCCAGCTTGGTCGGACATTAGACCTGACACAGCTTCGAGACTTCCATTTTGTATTCGGCTCTCGAGCATTCTTTGTTTTGAATTCGACATATTGGGGAGAGGGAGAATGCGGGTTAATCGGAGTGAAAGTTAATCTTTTTTCTCTCTTTTTTTTTCTTCTTCCTTTTTCCTTTTAGAAGAAAGCAGAGGAAGAGGAGATTGAGGTTGAGGGTTTTTTGGGGGGGAGGGGGGGATAATTAAATCCAACGTAACGTTATGATAACTGTTTTTTCAGGGATTATTTGTTTTGATGAAGAGCCGTAATTTTGATATACTGTAGTGTAACTAGGGACATAGTAAATCTCCATCAACAATCGACCATCAATCAAACGATCAAACCACCAGACAATCAATCAAATAGCACCTCGATAGACGAATCAAAGACGAGGAGGACAAGGCGTATGGATGAATTGATTGAGTGCATGTGGTTGTGTTGTGTTGTATTGTGTTGTATTGTGTTGTATTGTGTTGTATTGTATTGTGTTGTATTGTGTTGTATTGTGTTGTATTGTGTTGTATTGTGTTGTATTGTATCGTACTGTACTGTGTCGATGTTTGGATTGAGAAATATATAGTGAAGTGGGGGTTTGGAGTATAATAAATCAACAAACGGATAAGATAGGGATGTGGGATGGGATGTGGATGGGATGTGGATGGGATGTGGATGTGGATGTGGATGTGAATGTGAATGTGAATGGATGAGATGCGATGGATTCCAAGGTTGGTTGGAAGAAATAAGCTAGTGACGACAACAAGCAAGGTGATGAAGATGAAAAGATATAAAGAATAGATTTATATATGGTAATAGTGTAATTCGATTGATTTCTTATAATTATTGGTAAATCAATTATATATAAGTCATATAAATATAAAAAGAGTATCAAGCGAGAAGATGAAGTAAGGATAGAAAGAGAAGAGAGGAGTAGAGTAGAGTAGAGAAGACAAGAATGGTAAAGAAGAGTGTGTTGAGTGAATTGAGTGAATGCCTTTCGTATTCGTGGGTTGGGGTGAAATTGCTTGCAGACTATTGTTTGTTCTGGCTCTGGCTCTAGCTCTGGTATGGGGTTGGCTTTGCTGTCTCATTTCATTTCATTTCATTTCACTTCACTTCACACTCACTTCAATCATATCAGGCTTCACTTATTTCACGCTTCGCTCATTTCACATTTCACACTTCACTACCTGACGACCTAATTTCACCAGTCACAAGCTGACAGACCTTAGACGGCTCGTGTCACACCTATAAAGTTTCAATACACGGACTCCATGGTAGGTATATCTATAAAGAGCTAGGTAATCTTAATCTACCATAATCTACCATAATATCATCGTGTTTTAATTACGTCTTGATTTACTTGGTTTGTTCTTTCTCAAGCTAGAGATGATATCTTGCACACAATGTAGGAACTACTCCTCGAGTAGCTAGACAACCCCTTCTCCAAGCAAAGACAAAATACCCGTACATCTTGCAACAGTCACCAGTACCTTCTCCTCTTATCTTCTCTCCCTCGTCTTCCCGCCGCGGGTCGAATGAAACAATCGGTTCAATCGACACACCACCAATTGATCCCTTTCCTGACCTGGCCAATTCTCTTCAAGGGTCACGCTTTAACCTTTAAGCTCGAGTAACGTTGGAAAGCTAAAAATCGATAGGGCAATTTCACACATCCAACGTGGGTGGAACGATAGGCAAAATGATATTGATATCAAATCAACAGGGGATCTATCTTTGACAAACAAGAAATCATTATCTTCTTACCTACTAATTACTCCGTCGTAACTACCCACCTACCTAATCACTCCCAACTTCTCTTCATGATAAGGATCTTACCATCCTTCTTCTCTTTTTCCCTTTCCTGCCTTCTACTTCGTGGAAATATTACGGAGTCGACCCTCAGCTATTCCTCTTTTCTTCTGTCACTCAGACTGATATTGATGAATGCAGTAATCCGGCCATCTCGGATAAGCCGATACTGGAATGGATTAACCACTCCTTTTGGTCCAGAAAGATCGATTTCGGTAATTATTAATTACAAACGCTCTTTGATAGCTCTTGGTACATTGCAGATTCCTACTATACCCATACCCATACCCATACCCTCTTTTTTTCCTTCTCTTTTTTTGACAAAACTGTGATTGATGACTACCTAGTACCTACCTAGGCAGTGTGACGTCTTCATTAATCTTCGGTTCTTCCATTTCTCGATGTTTATATAAGTTTCAGATGGGAGATAATGTATATTCATGGGGGTGATTCAGAATTCATGATGAACGATGAAAAGAATGGGGAAGAGAGAATAAATTCTTACCCATCCTGTTGGTATCGAAAGGCTCCCTAGTGGGTGTCTTGGAGTTACTCACTCATTTGCTTCTCTTTTAGGTTCATCCTGTGTGTGATTGGAATCAATTCAACTCTTTGACATTTTTGCTGCAATGTTATGGAGAAGTCAGTCAAGTCTTATATGCAGAAGGTGGATTTTGGCGTCACCATACATTTTAAGGACCCTCACCCCCTTCATCGAATCCGGTTAACCATACTGTCTAGTCTGTCTTACAAGAACATGATGTGTACGGAGTAGTATCTATCCCAACACAATATCATCAACAGATATACTATGATACCAAAGCAGGTCCTGTACTATCTATTTCCTTCTCTCCCGTACAAACTGTACTCGGGTTTCCATCCATCCATTATCTATTCACGTCTCGAGTACCTTGATTCCGGAAGTGAATTTTCAGCTGACCCCTCCCTTCTTTTAATTTTGTACCTGGATCTCCGGCCCACCCAATCGACTTGCCCCACCATATCAAAATCATTTTGATATTCCATCCATCCCATGCTCCCACGCGGCGCCAAGAACAGATAAACGCTCAACTGAAATTGATGTTGATGTTCTCGAGGGATTTAAGACAAGAATTCCGAATCGCCGGCTCATCATCTGTCCTCATCCTCACCACCAAGAGAGAGTTAGGCACCGGTACATACACATGAGGAAATCATAACAACAATACAATATCCCACGTTTGAAAACAACATCTCCAATTGGATGCGTACCTTGGATGTCATCAACAAGGATACTTTACCCGCAACCAAACCACTATTTGATGCTTGTTTGTACGACATAAAACACTCTCCTGTGCGTTGTAGAATCCAGAAAGATGTGTTTCATATATGGCATGGGAACAAGTCATGTGAATAGGTCTTTGTGGGTAATGCCTCAACATTACGTATATGAGATCGCTCTTCTCTGTTTTCTCTCCTTGGATGATGATGCAGATTCCGGATGCGATTGTACTCTAGATTGGGACTCCAATACGTTCGCATAATTGTATGCGTCAGGTTCGCAAAAGCAAACAATCTATCCAAGAATCGGATGTCCGTAATTTTGTTACAAGATCTTTTCCAGTAGGTATGTTTGAGAAATCATTCATACGCTGGCTGATATGACAATAAGCCACACGTTCAATACAGGAAAGATTCTGTTTGCTGTCTATGGTTTGAGTACATCTATTTGACAATCCAGTAGCCTCATTCTTAAAAGTTATTCTCCAAATGACATCAGCTAGCTAGCTGGCTGACTAAGAACTTGGTCTCAAAAACTTAATTTATACTCGTATAACGTAGTTCATTAGTATGTGAGCTAGATCATCATATAGACTACTTCATTTTTTATGTAAAATTCGTCTAACGTGATTTAACACCGAGTAACTTATATTATCGAATAGTCTACTTTAAATACATATAAAATTCGTTTGTATATAATCATATACTTTCTTTATTTATTTTTATAATTTTTTCAAAATTTAAAATACAATATTTGATTATATAATTATTATAAAAATCTAATTTATTTTCGAAAATTTAAATAAATATAAAAGTTATTATTAAAATAATATTTTTATAACGAAATTCGTAATAATTTTAATCCTTTTAGTAATATAATAGGAATATTTATATTAAAACTGGATTATTTAACAACTAATATTTTATTATTATTATTTTTTTTCTTTTTTAAGAATAATATTTAGTTATTAAAATATAAATATTAAAAAATACCTGATTTTAATGAATTTTGAAATGAGCTATTTAACAATATAAGCTACTTAGTATTAAACTACGTTATATATAATTATATACTTTCTTTATTAGCTAATAGAATTTTCTAAAACCCTTTTATATAAAATCTTATTTTTTAATTATTTTAAAAATCTAATTCTTTTTCCAAAATTCTAATTACTTCTAAAGTTATTAAAGAAAAAGAGCTTTTATAATATAAAGTATAACAATTTCTAGTTAAAATGAATGATTTGAAAAAAAACCTAAAATTATAAATATTTCATTTTTATTATGATTCTTTATAAAAAAATTAAAATATAACAATTGATTATTAAAATATAAATATCAAGAAGACTATCTTGATTTTAGTAAGAGTTTAGACCCCGGCTTATCGTATACTAAGCGAAAACACACCAAAAACCCTTATTTATTCAACTTTTAAATTATATATTAATTCAATTAATTTATGAATTAAGTTTATAAAATTAATATATAAGATTGAGGATTATTGAAATAATTTAAAAAAACAAATGAAATATTTTTAGTTATTTTTTTGATAAAGTTATAGGTTTTTAAAATTGAAATTATTAAAAAACTTGAAAAAAGTAGTTTTTTTGTATAGGAAAAGTGTTATATGTTATAAATTTTGAAAAATTTCAATTTTAAAAATCTATAATTTTATTAATTTTTATAATTTCAAGGAACAATTTAAATCGAATATTCTTTATATAATTATTCCTTATATATATTGTTGGGACAGGGATCATGTGACTACGCTAGCGTTGACGCTAGCGTCTTCCGACACTACAGCAATACGTTTCGTAGCCCTAGCTTTTAGAACCTCAAGCAATATAACAACAGTGTGAACCATAGTACTATATTGACTTCACCATCCCCATGGTGATACCAACATATATAATTTTCAAAGTAATTTTTCGAATAATTAAAGAATTATAAAAATAATTAATTTGTATAAGAAAATAGTATTTTTGTGGGGATTTTGTTACGAAAAAGGGTGATGTGCGATAAGCTAAGGCCTCAACTCTTACATTTTCGAAGTGGCCTACATACTGATATAGTCTACATGCTAGAGAGAAATCTTACTCTCGCGATCTCGTTCTCGCCATCCGATTGCTCTCAAATCCTTTCCGGCTATTCACACCCCTCATGCATTATCTGGTAAAAAATCAAGCCCACAGACGAAACTAATTTCACACCCCCCGAAATTCTATCTTCGCCTCAAAATTCATCGACTCCGACCTCGGTTAAAAAATAGAATTGGCGTATCACGAAAATGAAATTTAACATCACTCCCTTATCACTGTCACTAAAACTCCATGATTCATCGACTTGACCCACAATCTTTGTATCAACCTGCCCCGGTTTTTCACAAGACAATCGCGCGGTAAAGGAATTAACATATGAATGGAGGATTCTAGGTAGGTAGTTATTGCCGCGAGCCTCGGTATGGCGTCTCTTTGATTTGAAGTCTTCTCCTTAACTTTTCCTCGTATTTCCCCTTTACTTTCTGTTTCATTGATATTGTCGGTGGCAATTTACTCTAGATTTCTTTTTGTCCATTCAGTCTCAAATTTCATATATATCCCATTCCAAGAGTTGTTCAAAGATACAGCAGTTATAATGAGTAAGAAAGGGGACTTTGCCGCCGTCCGAAAGGATATTGTTGGCCTTTTACACCAACCGGAATATGATGATGGCAGTGCCGGACCAGTTCTTGTGCGCTTAGCATGGTATGTAATCTTTCATTCCATATCTGTTCCAGACTATGCGCAATCAATACAATCCACTTCGGCGCAAAGAATTCCTTCTCATTCACAAACTAATATCATCTAGGCATTCGGCAGGAACATACGATTCTGAAACAGATACTGGTGGATCCAATGGAGCTGGTATGCGATACGAGAGTGAAGGAGGAGATCCAGCAAACGCCGGTCTACAACACGCGAGAGTCTTCCTCGAACCGGTCAAAGCCAAACATCCTTGGATAACATATGCGGATTTATGGACATTAGCAGGAGTAGTGGCGATCAAAGAAATGGGTGGACCAGATATCCCATGGCAAGGTGGACGAACAGATTATGTCGATGATTCGAAATTACCCCCGCGAGGACGTCTACCAGATGCAGCACAAGGTTCCGATCATCTTCGATGGATTTTCTACCGCATGGGATTTAATGATCAGGAAATCGTGGCGTTGAGTGGAGCGCATAATCTGGGACGATGCCATAGCGATCGATCTGGATTCGAGGGAGCTTGGGTCAATAATCCTACAAGGTTTTCGAATCAATATTACAGACTTTTGCTTTCTCTTCAATGGCGCAAAAAGAAGTTGGCAAATGGAATCGAGCAATTCGTCAATTATGATGAGGATACCGAGACGGAATTAATGATGCTTCCAACGGATTTGGCTCTGACGCAAGATAAAGAGTTCAAGAAGTGGGTAGGAAAATATGCAGATGATAAGGAGAAGTTCTTTGAAGATTTCAGTAAAGTCTTTGCAAAGTTGATTGAGCTGGGTATTCAAAGAGATAGCGAGGGTAAGATCACAAACTTGGATAATGAAAAGGGTGGATATCATTCAGCTCCAAAGAAGAAGGATACTCCTGGTAGTCCAGCGAAGAATACAGATGATAAGAAAGTGGATGTTAGCGAGGCGGCGCCATTACAAGAGGAGAATAAGAAATTCAAGTCGAAGTTGTAGAGGCTAGGTTGTGCGTGTGCGATATTAGAAGTCTGGTTTTTTGATTGGTTTTTTTTACAGTAATAAACGTGTATAGGGACAACTAGAGAGGTCAAGATTTTAGACTTTAGAAAAGATAGACTAGATCTAGACGTATAAAGAATTTATAGGTGGTGTACAACTAGTTGGCGCTATGGAATTTGGGAAAGTGCAACCAAATTGTTCATTTTCAGAACCATGTATACTTTATTTCATCTATCCATCTCATTCTCCAACTATATTCTTCCAATCCATCCCCCTAATTCAAAATATCATCATCACCACCATCCCCACCATCCCTACAAATCATACATATCCCCTCATCCCCAGCCCCCAAACCAACATGCGCTCCCTCTTTTCCCGCTCCCCCGATCTCGAAGGCGGCCAAAATCACAACGTCTACAAAAAAGGGTTCACAGGCGACCATCGCGGTCGCTCCCATATCCCACCCACCCCCTCTCCCCTCTTCTCTCCCCACTCCATACGTTCTCCGTTCAGTGTTCCGTCTGCAGCTTACAGACACGATACGATTTTTCGACCGCCGCCCAGTCCGAGTCCCAAGAGTGGTACGTTTAGTGAGAGATCGGGGAGTGCTCCTGTAAATCATGCTGCGAATGTGGGGAGTAGACTGGGGGAAAAAACACATCTGGATTTGGATCAGGAACAACTTTCTCGTCTTTACGAGTATTTGTGTGGGTTTTCGGTGAGAGGAATGGGAACTGAAACTGGGATTCCTCAGGCGCAGAGAGGAAGAAGAGGATTCAGCATGAGCGATCCAAATGATCGCGATCGTCCTCTTCATACTGCTCCTACTTCCATACCCATACCCATACCTACATCTACACCTCCACCTCCACCTCCTCTTACTCCCACACCCATCCCTCTTTCTCCACACTCCCGACTCAAAAAAAACTTCAAGCACAAGGTTGCCGAACAGCACTTTCGACGGAATAAAGATGGAAATGCGGGGGGTAGTCATGAACATGAACATGAATACGATGTGTTACTTGGGGATGAAGATGAAGAGAAGAATGTGGAGAAGGAGATGCAGTATCAAACGCGGATTTTTAGGGAGGCGGTGAGGGAAGCGTTGAGTGGAGAGGGGAAAAAACAAAGAAGAGGTGCAAGTGAGGGGGTAAGAGAAGGTGGGTTTTCGGGACCGGTAGAGAAGGGGAGAGAGAGGGGAAGGGAAAGGATAGAAGAAAGCCTGCCCAGGGATTTGGGAGAGTTTTTGGAGAAATATGATCCTAGGCCAGAGGATCTGCCAGATGTGTGAGTTTGGTTCCTGATTTTTGGGGGGGGGGGAGAGGGGAGGAGAGAAGGAGATACTGACGAAGAGAGAATAGATATCCAATGGGAGAACATAGAGCAATGCTCCGCACAATGTATTTGGAGGATATTTTGCACGCGACGGCGAAATTGCATATGCATAATTGGATTTTGCTGAGTCGGAATGAGATGTATGATGATTGTAGGTGGGGTTTGTGTTTGTGTTATTTTACTGGGAGTCTTTTTCCGTTGATTCTTTTTTGAGATGCAAGGTTTAGAGGTTTGAATTTGGAGTTAGATGTTTGAAGTCTGAATCATCAGCTAACGAAATCTCAAAGTGCGTATCCCCGCCCGCTGGGACCAAATCCAAGAAGATCTCGAAAAATACAGTATGTCTCTCTCACTCTCCCATTCCCATCCCATCTGCCGTCTCATCCCACCCGCTAACCCCCCTTCCCTCCCCACCACAGCCCGCTCCATCCGCAACTACACCTACTGGCTCAGTTCTCCCATTCCCCTCCTCGACCTTCCTAAATCATCTCTCCCCCCGCGTTTCCATCTCTACGGCAAACAACTCGCGATTCTCGAATGTGCGCGCGCGTGGAATCATCCGCGCGAGGAGGGGTTGGTACATGAGTTGGAGAGGAAATTGGTGGCATATCATACGGATTGGAGTGTGGGGAATGGGGTTTGGGGGGAGCTGAGGAGGGGGGAGAGGAGGGGGAGGGGGAAGGGGAGAGGAAGGGGGATGGAGGGAGTGGGGAGATTTGTGGGGGGGATTGTGGGGGGGATTGTGGGTGAGTTTTTTTGTTTTGTTTTGGTGTTGTTATATGTATACTGGAATTCACTATGTATCCAAAATCAAAATCATGACTAACTAACTAACCACTCTCCCTAGGTGGAAGCAGCATCCTCACCCCCATCAGCATTCTCCTTCTCTGGCCGGGAGGCATATCCAAAACAGGCGGTGTAGGAATTATCGGTGTCAGCGTGGCGATTATGGGAATAATACTCGTATGGATTGTTAATGGAGAGGGAGAGAAAAAGAATGGATGGGAGGGAATTAAGGGGGAGAGGGATAGAGATGGAGATGGAGAAAGGGGAGTTTTGGGAAGAGAATGGGGAATGAAAGATGTAATGCTAGTTTTGGGAGCGTATGCGGGGGTTTTGGGGGTCTTTTTGGGGGTCGCGATTGTTTAGCTGGGGGGAGGGGGAGAGGAGGGAAGTTAATAGATGGGTTTTCTGGTGATGGTGAAGTTTTCTTATGTAATTTTTTGTGTGTGTTGTGCTGTGTGTTATGTGATGTACTGCTTTTGTCTGCTGCGCTGTGTGTTGTGTTGTGCATTGTCCACAATATCCAGACGTGACTAAATGAATCATGAAATTTGAATCATGAATCGTAATATGTTTCATTAATTAGATACATCTAATTGATGAAGTGATATTTTACAACTTCGGAGTAGTATCACAATATACGTGTACATGTCTAAATAGATTTGTACCATTCGCCAGTCCGCTGAGTGGATAAGGAGTAATAGAGTGCATGGTAGGTATATCTGGCTGAGTATATGTATGCACACATATAAGTAAATAAGTGAACTATTAATGATAGTGTTCATTGTCAAGTCCAATGATATTTTATTATGAGTGAATGAATGAGATGAGATCTCAGGGTTAGATAAGTATGTGTTATAAGCATGAAGAATATGGATATAGTTGAAAGGATATCTATTTATCTACGAAGCGAGGGTGAAGTAGGATGATATAGGGAGAGGGAGAGAAGGGTTTATGGGATTAGAGAATCATGAGGTATATAGGAGAGATTAGGATATTAGGAAACAATGTTAGGAAGCAAAATGTTAGATGTGAGATGGGGTTATAGATAAGTATCTAGGAAAGGATTTTGATATGTGTTTAGAGATGAGAAGATGTGAGTGGCTTACGACTGTATTGATGGATAGATGGATGTATGTTTCTATTATTATTCATGATTTGAATATCTGTGAGAGGAAGAATTACTAGACTTATTGTCTAGAGAAGAGATAGTTCATGGTTAAAGACACTTCGACGCTTTGATTCTTGAGTAGAAGTAGATGGGAAACCATAACGTTGTGCTTCGGTAAAAAAGCTCTAGAGCTATGAATCTTGGAGGAAAAGTAGGGAGGTTATTGCGAAATTGCGAAAAGTGTATAAGTAAGCGACGACGAAGGTTGGTGGTGTATATGGTCTCAGTATTAGTAAGTCACAAATAAATCAAATACAGAATCACATGAACCATAGACATTATATGAGAAGGTAGTATGACAAGTATATATTTTTTGAATCAACTTATGAAGATACATATATAGATATCAGAATTGTTTGCTGATATTACTGTTGAAGTACTCGAGTATACAAGTCAGATCTGATTAAACTCTAGATAAAGAGAGCAAAAACAAAAACATTTCCAAAATGTTTCCAAAACATTCCAATCGTTAAGCTAGTCGAATACTTAAATAGAATAGAGATCGACGAATGGTACATCTAAAACAAGGTACTTAAAAATGAGATCATCGTGATGTTGAATCACGGATTAACAAAATAGATATATCCCAAAAACAGTCCCTGACTAAAAGGTCAAAATAATTTCAAACAATTCAGAGGTGAAGATGCTTAGTGCTCTAAGCTAATATATATATCTAAAGCGGATTAGTACTGACTAGACCCTACAAATACACGATCGCAAATTAGCGATGGTAACTTACTGTATAGACGAGAACAATCAATTGTTAATTAGCTGCATATGGAGGAGGAGGAATTTCAATAGAGGCTACAGAAGGAGCATTCGATCGTCTAGTTTGTTGACGTTGACGTTGCGAGTCAACAGCTTGTCGATATAAGCTTTGAAGGGAGAGGCGTAGATGGTGTATGCGCTGAGGATTTATCGCGACATTTTGACCACGAGCTATCTCAGCTTGAAGTTGACCGTACAATTTTTGGCCTTCCAAGATTTTAGATCGTATCTCAGCAGGAGCGGCACGAATAATATAATTCTGAATCAGATTGTTACGGATTCCGGTGTACAGTTGTTGTCGAACCGTGGTTTGTTGCTCATTGAGAAATTTGACATGTTCAACGAAACGAGCATGTCTTTTCAGAACATCTCTCATTTTTGTTCCGGCAGGTAATGGTTTGTTCATCACATTGTTATGATAGTTCTTCAATTTGAACTCGTCGAGGTCAAGCAGATTAAGCTGGAGATGAAGGCGTCGAGGTGAGGACGATGGTGTTTTCTTAATACGATTGATTAAATCTTGTCGGTATGCTGTAACTGTAAGAGCAGCTGAAATTAATGTTAGTAAAATGACGATATAACTCGAGAAGACAATATGGTCATTACCTTGAGTTGTATTTGTTTGTAGAGAGGAAGACAATGTATTAGGAGTTGACATATTGTTCGTATGAATGAGTAGTAAGTTATAATTTTTATTACAGAAAAATACATCTTTTATATATATATAACTTATATTATTTAAAGATTGAATGTAATGAATAAATAAGAAATGAAAAAGAATTAAAAAAAAGAGAGGAAAAGATAAGAGTATTTATACTCGATAGTACTTTTATAAGCGAGTTCTATTGTGTGATAATTATTATAATTTCATAAGATCATTTATAGAAAAAGTTAAAAAGTTATAATGAAAAAGAGTCTTAAAGTATAAGTTTCTATTATAAATTTTAACTGATTTATTTATAACATCTTAAAAAGGAAATTTAATACTTTTAAGCAATTTCATATTATAAACTATAATGATTTGGAAGAAAAATTCGAATGATTTTAAATAATTTTATATTATAAATTTTCAAGCTTTATTCATTCTAGTATTCAAAACAAAATCTCTAATATGTTTAAGCAAATTCGTATTATGAATTTTATATAATTTATTATTTAATAAATAAATATTAGATTCCTCTATTAGAAATTATAACAAAATTAGTAGAGAAAATATTCAGAAAAACTTTATTAAGTTTGTTTTCTGTAAATTAGTCTTATAAATATTAATTCATTTATTTAGAATAGTTTTAAGCAAATTTATATTATACATAGTATTAACTTCCTTATAATTTAATAATTAAAATTAGATTTTAATACTTTTAAGAAAATTATAAAAATATAAAAATAGATTTCTTATTTCAATGTTTAATTAGTTTATAAGTATTCTTTAAAATGATACTTTTAATAGATTTAATATTATATATAATTATTAAAATAGAAAAAGATGATTGTTACTAGTATACTACTTAGTATTATATATATTATTTCCAACAATAATATTATTATATGAGGAAACATGAAAAAGATCAAGAAGAGTTTTTTTAAAATAACTCTCTAATTTATATCGTATTTAAATTAGGGAATTACTTTATATTCTTTTTTATAGTTATTAAGTTAATATTTATTTAAGTTGAGTAGTTATTATTATTAATATAGAAGAGAAAATATATTATATCTATTTAAAATATTCAAAATGATTAACATTATTGTTATATAGAGTAACTATATTAAATAAATTAGTAAAAAGAATTCCTTAAAGATTTTTATAATGATTCAGACTTTTTAATATTTAGTAATTTTATAAGGGGATTTTATATATAAAGAAAAAGGTTTTTGAATATAAGAAAATGAAAAAGATTTTTTTTTTTAAAAAGATTTATTTATTTTGAGAAATATCTTTAATAAACTCATTAATATATAAAAATAAAACTTTTTTATAATACTTATAATTATTTTATATAGGAAAACAATATTCTTAATATCTTAATATAATAAAATTTATAAGGGTAATTCTAAAGTATTATAGAAATTATAATATATTAATATTAATTACATTCTCTTATAATATATAATACATTATTAATCATTTAAAAAGAAAATAATGATCTTTAATAATATAAAGTATATATTATATTAAAAATCAATATTACAATTCATTCTATACTTATTATATAATTTGTTTTAGATTATTAATACATTAAATATAAATTAAAATTGACTATATAATTACTAACCTTTCTTAATATGAAACTTTAAAACCCTTTTATTAAAAGAATAGTACTAACAAAACAAAATAAAAATAAAAATAATAAATTTCGAATAAAACTCAATTTAACTAAAGTATTAAAGGAAAAAGATTAGAAATAGAATATGTTATAATATAAAATTGAAATTAGAATCGTTAATATTATAAATGAAATTCGGAAAATTTAAAGATTAATAATTTAAATTTAAAAGAAATTCTATAGTAAAATAGTGATATACTAATTATAAGATTTAATATACTGAAATTTAAAAAAAAAAGATGATAAAGATAAATATAAGAAGTAGAAAATCATAGGGATTATAATGAGGTAAATGAAAAGATTAAAAGGTTTTATAATATAATGAGATTCTATAATAATAGATTTAAATAGGCTTTGAGAGGGGATAGGGTTTTTATTATTTTTCTTTATTTTATATAATTAAAAATATATAAGTGTATTGTATAATTAGTATAGCTTAGCTATAGATAGACTAAATCAATTAAGAATTTATTACTACTATTATTATATTCAAATGAAGAAAAATAATTTAATAAAAAGGTAATAAAATTATTAAAACTATATACTAGCTATGAGGGAAAAAGAACTTTCAAATTATAGATTTATAGAATTTCCTTTTTCTTAGTAATAATTAATACTATATAATTTTAAAATCCTATAAATTCGTAGACTTTAAATTCTTTTTTCCTAACGACTAGTACTAATATAAATTCTCAAATAAATTCTCAAATAAATTCTCATATAAATTCTCATATAAATTCTCATATAAATTCTGATTCTAATTCTTTTTAAAATATAATATATTATATATAATATACATATGAGCCAGTCCTTAAGTTTCTGTTTCTCGCTACGCTCGAGTTCAAAATCATATATAGATATATGAATATATAAATATATTCTTATGATTCTTATTATTCTTATTCTCCTATCGAGACGTGGATTCGAGATCTACTCCCTGACAGGGTTTATATAGTAGATTAACTGTTCTAGACCTAATCTAGAATACTCACGCTTTTATATGACGTAGTAGTAAAATTAATCACACCTGACATCTCCTCTCTCTATTTAGTTTTCTTTTCTTTTTATGAGATTTAATAGTTTAATAGTATGTAGACTATATTATTATATGAGTTACTTCAAAAATATAAGAGTTTAAGTTATTACTCATCGTATACTAAGCGATTTCGTAATAAAATCCCTATAAAAAAGCTGTTTTCCTATATAAACTATAATATTGAATAACTTTTTAATAAATGAAAAATAATTATCGAAATCTTGAGTTATAGTGTTTAATTAATATTCAAATTAAAAAATAATTAGAATATTTTTTATTGTTTTTATAATTCAAAAAGAAAGTTTTAAACTTGAATTTTTTTAGAATTATTAACTTATAATGTTTTCCTTATACAAAATAAGCGATTTTTCGAGATTTTTCTATTATTCTCTTTTGAAATATAGAAATTCTATGAAAAAAGAATAGTAAAAAATAATCAGCAAACTTTTTAATACTATTCAATTGACTTTTCATAAAATATTAATATTTTATTTAATTTCGATTATATTTAAAGGGAATAAAACAGGGGTTCAAAAGTTGAAAATATAATTATCTTTAGTATAAAATCGCTTAGTATGCGGTGAGTAATAACTTAAACTCTTATTAATATTAAGGTTTTCTTAATATTTATATTTTAATAAAAATAATTATTTTTAAAAGAAAAAAATTATGAAAAAACTACAATAAAAATAAAATATTATAATATTTGGGGTTTTTTTTTTAAATTCATTTCGATTCGAAATTATTATATTTTATGTTACAAAACTCTTTTTTTTAATAACTTTAATAATAATCAAATTTTTGAAAAAAGAATTAGATTTTTGAAATAATTGAAAAATTAGATCTTATATAAAAAGGTTTTAGAAAATTCTATTAGCTAATGAAGAAAGTATATAATTATATATAAATAAGTTTTATATAAAAAATAAAGTAGTCTATATAATGATATGATTTACATACTAATGAACTACTATTACAGGAGCTGCCTCTAGGGTCACGTGGAAGTATCTAGAGATCTCTCGAGATGGTTTAAACTAAACTTCAAGTAGGAATTTAATAAGGTTGTAATTAGTTGTAATTCTTATAACTATAATAATAAAACTAATAATTGTTCTTAAGTATAAAGCTCTGTATTATAATAAAACCTATTCTTTTTATATAAACCTTTTTGTTTTACAGAACTTATGATTTTGTTCTACTTAGATCCCTTAAATCCTAGGCTCCAAAGGCTCCAACGTCCTATCACACAACACTTATCACGTGATCCAATGTTACCCGTCGTAACAACTACATTAGTAGAATAGTAGAATAATATAATAGTTTTTCTTTTATATTCTTTTTTATACTCTTTTTAAAGTCTTTTTATATATTCTTCTTTATATTGTTTTTTATATAGCTTTCTATCAATACAATTTTATATATAGATTCTAATTCAGATTCTAATATTAAAAAACATTCAAGATTAATATACCTCAGGTTATAGTATTCTTACTTTTACATCGTAAATATATCTTTAAATACTTTTTAATTAATACTTTTAATTCAATTAATTAATTTCATTATTATTATAAAACCTACTCTAAAGGTACCTATACTATTGAGAAGTTTTCAATTGCTTCTATCTAATTATGAATTTTTCGATTATTTATTTTATTTATTCATTTAAAATTATATATTAAATTAAAGTAATATAATAGATTTTATAGACTTTTATAAGCTTTTCCCTCTTCTATCTCGATCGAAATAATCCTACTCTAGCGTTAATATATATATTATTACAACGGATTATTAACAGGCTGTAGAATCACCAATGTATAGGCTATAATGGTACTATAAGCCTCGGTGATTCAGCTGTAGTATATCAAAGGATGCTAAGCATTATCAGGAGAGCCTTAGGTATGTATATAGTATTAGTCATAGGATACCTTAGAAATATAGGATATAGTTCTTAGAACAATAGGTTCTAGAAAAGACAGAATATAATAAACAAGAAGGCTTTATTAGAATTAGTAATGTTCTAGGGGATTAGCCCTAGGATAAAAGAATAAGCTAGGATATTAAGAGTCATGGGATTAGTGTTCTGTGATGGATAGCTCAGGAATGATAGCGCTCCAGGAGTGCTCAGCTGTTTCAGCTGTTCAAGAAGGACGAAAATTTATATAAGGGAATGGGTTTCATTATAATGTAGAGCTTCATACTCAAGAACAATCATTAGTTTTATTATTATAATTACAAGAATTACAATCAGTTACAACCTTATTGAATTCCTATTTGAAGTTTAATTTAAATTACTTTAAGAGAATTCTAAATATTTTCATATAACCCTAAAGGTAGTTCCTGTAATACTTTAAGTATTTTTTCTACTTTAAGTACTGATTCAATAATTTATCATTAAAATATGGTAATCAGAAATATCCTTATAGGATAGTCTATATTGATAATGGATATTAATGATGTTGAGATAGCTGATACTCCATAGAAAATTATTATCAATGAAACTCTTAAGATCGTCTTACCAAATAAGTATCAAGGTAATTGATAGGAATTCAATACTTTCCTTTTGTAATTAGAAATCTACTTTCAATTCAATAAGGATAAGTTTATAACTATAGAATTCAAGAGTGTATAGATTGTATCCTATCTTAAAAGAGAAATAAGTAAATAAATTCAATTATATTTACAAGATTATTTCGAGTATAATGAACAGGATTGTATATAACCCACTTAAACAATCTTCAATAGTTTTAAAGAATTTAAAATAGAAATTTGTAGAATCTTTAGGAACTTTAATAAACTAGAAATAATAGAAGATAAGATTTTCAACCTTAAGCAGACAAAATCAGTATTAAAGTATACTACAAAATTTCAAAGATATATAAGAACAATCAAATAGAATGAAATTGTTATTATAAGTTACTATTATAAAGGATTCAAATCAAAAATCAGATTGAAATTAGAAAGATTTGTTGAGAGTGTAGACTTGAACGATCTAATTCAGGACTTTATTGAATTAAATGATTGTTTTTATTGGTATTGATAAGGTCAGAAATTATACAAACCCTAGGGAAATCAAAAGCAAGAGTGTTATTACAAGAATAAGAGTAGATTACATTACAATCCATAAAGATATGAAGATTCTATAGAACTTAATGCTATATATTACAAAGGAGGGAATAATAATTCAAAAAGAAACGAAGATGAGAGAATAACTTATATTTTGAATATAGAAAAGTAGAATATTAGGTAGCAGAATATTGAAGCAAGAAAACAAAGAGTAAGAAGAGTAATTTTAAGAATAAGTTTGATAAGGATCAATTTAATACCATCTTCACATCATAATTGTATATTGTTAGTATAACAGAGCTAACCATGCTACCACTAGCTTACAAAGAAGAGCTCGAAGAAGAAGAAGAGATCGAATACCTCTTATGGGAAAACAGAAACCTATAGTTAGAAGAATCATGGTCTATTCGGGAAATTGACTAATGGAACCATTGTATCTGGAAATTCGGAGATATAGATGAAGAAACTATAAACAAGAACCTTAATGTAATAAGTCAACTACCCCACTTTCCGACCACCCCCTCTTTTCGACCACCTCAAAAACCACACCGCTTTGAGTAATTATAAAATTTATACTTTGAATAACTCAACAATGCTTTAATCAATTGATTTGAAATTTTGATATTATTATAATTGTGATATGAAGAATAGATATACCGAAGAAGATATCGCAGAGGCTCTTAGAGCGATTACAAATGGAGCAAGCATACGAAGAGCTAGCTTGGATTATGGTGTTCCACGTACCACACTTCACGATCGAATATATGGTGGAGTTTCGCATCAAAAAGGCGCCCAAATACTTCAAAAGTTATCTCCAATTCAGGAGAATCGACTAGCAGAATGGATATTAGTACAGGAAGCTCTTGGTACTAGCCCTACACATCGTCAAATCAGAGAGATGGCAGAGCACCTCCTTATTGTACGAGGGGAGGATCCCTCACTTGGAAAGAAATGGATACATAGCTTTTTTCGAAGGCATCCTAATATTGGAACTAAGAAGCAACATCAAATCGATTCTGCACGAGTTTCAGGTGCTACATCTGATATTATTAAGAAGTGGTTCCGGAACCTCGCAATCCCTGAAATCAAGGCTATTAAGCCGGCCAACAGATGGAATATGGATGAAGCAGGTATAATGGAGGGTCAGGGTCTTAATGGACTAGTAGTAGGAAGCACTGATCGAAGATTTATTCAAAAAAAGCAACCTGGATCTCGAATTTGGACCTCTTTTATAGAATGCATTTCAGCCAATGGAAAAAGCATTACTCCCCTTGTAATATATAAGGGAAAATCAGTTCAACAACAATGGTTTCCAACAGATTTGACTCTATTCAAGGGTTGGAACTTTACCGCTACAGAAAATGGATGGACTACAGATGCTACAGCTTTAGAATGGCTGAAAAAGATCTATATCCCTCAAACTACCCCTATTCAGCCGGAAAATTCAAGACTCCTCATTTTGGACGGACACGGAAGCCATGAAACTACAGCATTTATGTTAGAATGCTTTAATAACAACGTATATCTCTTACTTCTCCCACCACATACGTCACACGTACTACAACCACTCGATTTATCTGTGTTCTCACCCCTAAAAAGTGCATATCGAATCGAACTTAATAAATTAAGTCTATTATCCGATTCCTCACCAATTGGAAAGCGCAATTTCCTTTCTTGCTATCAGAAGGCTAGAATAGAAGGTTTAACTATTCAAAATATCAAGTCTGGGTGGCAAGCTAGTGGTCTTTGGCCCAAAAAATATGGCTAAACCTCTTATGAGTCGACTTTTGCTTGAAAATAGCAATAGAGAGGTTTTATCACTTAATCCTGAATCTGATGATGATCCTATTCTTCAATGGAATATATATTCATCGTTTATTCAATGGAAAACCCCTCAAAAAGGAGCCGATATCAGAAAATATAGAGATATAATGATTCAAGAGAAGGAGATCGATTTGCCAACACGAAGATTACTATTTCGCAAGATTATAAAAGGATTCGATGCTAAGGATTATGAACTCTTAGAGGCAGAGAATAAGATTAGAAAGCTAGAATATCAATTAGATGAAGCATTACCTAGAAAAAGGCGAAAGGTTGTGGTATCTCCAAATTCGAAGTTCGCAGGGATTAGAGCTATAAGGCGTACACAAATTGAAGCTGGAGATCGTGAAGATGAGGTAGATGATAGCTCTAGTGCTATAGAAAGTGATTCTACAGGCGATTTCATTGAAGTTCAATAGTTATTGAGTTATTAAAGTTTTAAGTGTAGATAATATGAATTTTTTAGGTGGTCGGAAACAGGGGGTGGTCGGAAAGTGGGGTAGTTGACTTAGATATTGAGGAAGGCAAATCGTATAAGGTTTGGTATGTCGATTAGTATCGAATCCTATGGTTTGGAATCACTACAAATATATTATTCGTAGAAAGGATTAGTATTGATCACCTCTAATGACCAAACAAAGAAGAGCTATAGGAAGTGTTTTATCATTATACATCTGAAAGGAATGAGAATCAGGTTTTATTTTTATATAGAAAAGTAGGAAAAGAACATTGGGTTCAAGCTCAAGTTATAATACTACTACCAATTGTAGATACGATAATGAAAGTTACTTAAGGAAACTATTAATACACTCTATAAAGGGACTTACTTAATAACAAAGTTAGATTAAAAGCAAGTGCTATTTATTTAGAAAAGAAAGAGCCTCAATGTATAACATTTGCTAATAAGATTATCCAGAATAACGAGGATGAGTAAATTACACTACAATTGAATGCTATAGAATAAGTAGAATAAATATATTATAGAGTTAAAATAAACGGACAAATATAATAAGTTATAATAGATTTAGAGGCTATAGGAAATTTTATTGTATTAGAAGCTGTAAAGTATTTGAGAGTTCTATTTTAGAAAAAACAAAACCCTTATTAATTATAGTTAGTTGATGGACAGCTAGTAGAATCTGATAAGAATGTTTTATAGGAGATTAACTAGTATAAATGAATATAATCCAATATTCGGAGGTTATATAGCTTAACGTTGTACTATTAGACCAATAATAGATCATTTTAGGAATGCTATAGTTAAAGGCATATAATCCCAGAATAGATTGGTTATAAGGAATAGTAATATTTAATCAGTACAAGGACAATTATGACGATATGTTTAAGGCGTTTACAAGATGTAATATATACTAAGGAGAATTGAATATGAATAATACTAACGACATAGGATATTTAGTTTAGAGTTTTTTATTAAGAATGAAGGCCAGTACATCTCCTCTATAAATGTAGAAGTCAACAATATGATAGGAAATCGCAATCAAGGTAGAAGAGTCTATAATATTAGAACAGTATAAGAAATATAAACATGTTTTCAAAAAATTAGGGATCCATAAGGTGTTACGACGGCATCCAACACACCGCGTCACATGACATAAATCGCACGTGATGGAGCGTCAAGGAGCTTCAGCGCTCCTGGAGCGCGTTGCGATCCTTAACGATCCAACATATCGGAGAGGTCCCAGGGACCAGGACAAAGCACGAAGGTCTATATAAAGAATGGGATTTCATTACAATGTAGAGCTTCGTGCTCAAGAACAATCATTAGTTTCATTACTATAGTTACGAGAATTGCAACCAGTTACCAACCTTATTGAATTCCTACTTGAAGTCTAGTCTAAACCACCTCGAGAGATCTCTAGACACTTCCACGTGACCCTAGAGGCAGCTCCCGTAACATAAGGCTTTATTAAAATATAAGTCATAGGATTATAAAATAATATTAAAGGAAAGTAAAATGCCTGTATATATCCTAATTTATTTAATATCAACCAATAAGTTAAAAATATTTAAAGAATATATTAATAACAATTTGATTAAGGGATGAATTAGAGAATTTACATTTTAAGTAACAAATTCAATTATGTGAATATTTAAGAAAAATGATATTAAAAGACTAGTTGTAGATTATAGAAAGCTCAACATGCTTATAAAGAAGAATTAATATTTTCTTTCATTAGTTATAGAATTAAGAGATTGATTAGGCAGAGCAATAATATTTACCAAAATGAACCTACAAAACGGGTACCATTTGATTAGAATAAAGGAAGGCGAGGAATGGAAAACTGCTTTTAAGATAAGATATAGGCTATACGAATATTAAATTATGTCATTTGGGCTAATTAATACACCAGCTATTTTTATAAGATTTATAAATAATATATTATTATAATACTTAAATACTTATTGTATATACTACTTAAATAATATTCTAATATATTCAAACAATAAGGTTCAATATATCAAAAATATCAATAATATTCTTGAAAGTTTAGCTAAAGTTGATTTGCTATATAAATCAAGTAAATATAAATTTCATATTATGAAAACAAAGTTCCTAGGATTTACTATATCAAGTCAAAGGTTTAAAATGAGTAAGGATAAGGTTAAGGTAATGTTTGAATAAAAGTAGTCAAATATAATTAAAGAATTATAATCCTTTTTAAGATTTGTTAATTTTTATTAAAGGTTTATTAAAGGATATTCAGGAATTATAATATCCTTAATCAATCTAATTAAGAAGGATTAAGAAAGTTTTGAATGAATCATTAAGGTATAGAAGTTATTCGATACACTTAAATAAATAATAATAAAAGAATTAATATTGTTAATATTCGATCCTGAGAAACTAATCATAATGAAAACGAATTCCTTAGATTTCGCTATAGGCACAGTTTTAAGCCAACTAGGCCAGAATAAGAAATAACAATTAATTACATTCTATTCTCGAAAATTATTATCAGCTGAATTGAATTACGAAATATATAATAAAGAATTACTAATAATAGTTGATTTATTTAGAGAATGATGAGTTTATTTAAAAAGATCAAAATATCTAGTACAAGTATACACAGATTATAAGAACTTGGTTTATTTTACTACAACAAAATAGTTAAACAAACAATAGATTAGATGATTGGAAATTATAGTCAATTACAATTTCAAGATTTCATATATTAAAGGATCAGAAAACACTAGAATCGACGCTTTTAGTTGAAAATCAGAATATTAAGAAAATAAGTCGTACAAATCATATGCAATATTCAAGAAAGAAAGCGAATCATTAGTTTACAATGCACTATAACTTGTAGCTACTTATATATTGAAAGACAATTATTTCAGAAACCAAATTCAATTATATTACAACAAGGATGCTACAATTATATGCATATGTAAGGCAATAGAACCAGAATTCACTATAGAAAACGAAATCATATATTTTCATGGGAAAGTATACATTTCGAGTTAAATAACCAAGGAATTTGTGACAGAATAATATAGGTTGTTGGCATATGAATATCAAGGAATTGTAAGAATATTTGTAAGAATCCGGGAAATTAATTATTTCTTACAAATGAGAATGATAGTTGAAAAAGTTGTTAAAAATTGTAATATTTGTATATAAACTAAGTCATTACGATATGCTCTGTATAGTTAATTTTAAATCCCAAATATACCTTCTTAATCATGAAAGTTCATTATATGAGACTTTATAGTTAAATTATTATTTTCAAAAGATTTTATTATAGAAATTAAATATAATACAATACTCAATGTAATAGATAAATTAACTAAATTTATATATATAATATTATTCAAAGAAATATGGGATATTGAATAACTAGTATATATATTTCTTAGAATTATAATAAGTATATATGAAATACTAGATAAGACAATCTCGAATCGAAACAAGCTCTTTACCTCGAAATTCTAGACTATCTTATTAGCACTTATAAGTATTAAAAGAAAGCTATCGATAGTTTTCCACCTATAGACAGATAATCAAATAAAGAGAACTAATCAGATAATAGAAGTATATCTTAAATACTATATAAATTATTAATAAAACAATTGGGTAGAACTATTATTTATAGCATAATTTGTATATAATATATTGAAAACGAAAACTACAAAGATAATATTAGTACACATTAACTTTGGGTTCAATCCTAAAGTATATCAAATATTGATACTATAAAAAGTTAATATCGAATCAGCAATAATACAAATCGAATAGTTGAAAGATTTACAAGAGCAGCTTGTTTTTAACCTAAGATTTATTTCTTTTAGAATAACAGTTTACTATAATATGAAATATAGTATAGAATCTATACTTAAAGAGGGGGATAAAGTTTATTTATTATAAAGAAATATCAAAATTAAAAGATCAAGTAATAAATTCGATTATAAAAAACTAGAACTATTTAAGATTAATAAGATAATAGAAATAGTTAATTATCAATTGAAATTATCAGATATAATAAATATTCATCTAGTATTCCATATATCCTTGCTCAAATTAGTATTATTAGAAATGCTTAATATACTATTCACAAAAATCGAATTAGTTAACCTAAAAGCTATATACAATATTGAAACAATATTAAATTGTAAATATGTTAGAGGTAAGGTTAAATATTTAATTAAATGATTGGACTATTTATACTTGAAAAATATATAAGAATTCAAGAAGGATCTCAATTGTTCTGAAAAATTACAAGCATTCTATCTAAAATACTCATATCTATCAATAAAACCTCGAGCTTAATATCAAACAATAGAAACAACAAAGAATCGAAAAAGTTAAAGGAAAGGAAATTATTAGAAATAAGTACAACAACATCGATAATTTCCTTTTCCATATACTCCTTTTTCAATTTTTCCTTCTCTTCTTTCTCCATTAACTTATTGAAAGTCTGTAAATTATAATAAAACATTTCAAATTTATATTTTAATAGGAAACACTTCTATTTCCACAATCATAAAATTTTAGTTATAATCTCTTCCTCCTCTTAATTCAATCTCTCCTTCTATCAGAATAAACTTTTCTAATTACTCTCAAACGAACCTTAAACATTGTATTTCTTACTACTACAAATACATTTACTACACCACAATAAATTAAAGAACAAAACAATACATTTACAATCAATATATTCACATAACAAATATAAGAACATTTCGAAATCTTTTTATTTAATAAGATAAGTAAAACGGATTTGTTCTTTTCTTTTATTAATATTTAAAGGAAATATAATGAAGAAGAAAAGAAGCATTATAATTATTAAATAGACGAAAGGAAAGATGTACTAATATAAACGCTTGGGATAAGCACTAGGCTAAAAAGGGAATAGTGTTACAACGGATTAGTAATAAACTATAAAATCATTAATGTATA